AGACATGAAATCATATCTCCGACTCATACTTTATCAAGATATGAAAACAAATTGAGGTCATCTTGCATTCTAAAGAGCTAAAATGGATTTTGTATAGGCATATTTTTGCCCATATATGCTATGTATTACAAGAGCTCGCGCGCACGGAAATTTATGTTTAACGGTCGATCATACCGTCATTAATAGTCATAAAGAGATAAACATGGTATCAATTTGTTTGTAAAAATATGTGGAATATTATGAAAGAAAAAAATGGCGATTCTATGTTGCGTAAAAGTTTTACGCGCGAAAACTCATTTTTTATAAAATGCTTAGAATGGCCTAAAACGTATGCAAAATGATTTTGAGACGATTTTGAGCATTTTAAAATTTTGCGCGCGCATTGACGCGCGGACGTACGCGCACGCGCGCGTTTTTTGACCGGAAATTGACCGGAGGGATATTGACCTTGATCATGGTAAATATGAATGAGAAATACCTTGTGGTTATGAAGATATGATCATGAGTTGATTTTCGTAAAATTTTACAAAATGGCGCCTAGATGACGTAATCAGTGAAGGTCAATGTTGAAAACGTTATTGTGCTTTGTACATATGCCTATACATATGTGTGCCATATTTAAAGGCATTTGATTGAGCCATTTTTAAGTTATCTTGCCAACAAAAAAGTGGTTAGAAATAAGAAAAATATATAATAATAAATAAATAAATAAATAAAGGCAATTCTAACGAAATTATAAGGTGGTCTGTACGTTATACAGCCCACCTGATAAATAAAGGCAATTTTAACAAAAATATAAGGTGGTCTGTATTAGATACAGCCCACCTGATAAATAATAAAGGCAATTTTAACAAAAATATAAGGTGGTCTGTATTAGATACAGCCCACCTGATAAATAATAAAGGCAATTTTAACAAAAATATAAGGTGGTCTGTATTAGATACAGCCCACCTGATAATAAATAAAGGCAATTTTAACAAAAATATAAGGTGGTCTGTATTAGATACAGCCCACCTGATAAATAAATAAATAAATAATAAAGGCAATTTTAACAAAAATATAAGGTGGTCTGTATTAGATACAGCCCACCTGATTAACCAGCATGGTCTTCTCACAAACATCAAGAACATCACTGAAGAGAAAGAGAGAAAGATTGGACAGTTGGAGAAAACATGGAATGATGACACAAAATCCACAAAGAATACAATACAGACAATTGACACAGTACTCAAAGATGATAAACATGCCGTCAAAGATGTGAAGACATCAATGAGTGATGCACTAAAAAACCCATTGAATGAGGATGGTGTGAAAACAATCACTGGTACCATATCACGCGTGAGGTTTGTGAAGGGTGCTGGGAGAAAAAAGTATGATGGGAGGATTGATTGGTATGATGGGGAATGGAAGCTCATTGATACAATCAATGTCAAAGATACAATCACGTTCCCGGTAATTGTAGGTTGCATAGATGAATGCAATGTGATCATCACAGATATACTAAGAGGAAGCCATCATACAAACGTGTTAGATATGAATACTAAACACAGTCACAGAGTGATAACCAGTAGTGGTACATCAGAGGTTGGCTTCTGTGCATTGCTGAATGATGACAATGTAGTATGCAGTACATACAGAGAAGGGTGTACAGGGAACAGTTTGACTGGATACATCAGTGTGTATGACAGACAATGGAAGCACATCAATGACGTCACAATACCTAGAAACACAAGGGTTCAAGACACATGTGTGAATTTAGCTGTTGACCAGGATGGGATGATCATCGCTGCTGAGGGAGGTCGGTCTAAGATATACGTCATCGACCCAGCTGATGGTAAGATCATGAATACCATCAAATGTAAACAGAATATAAGGATTCGTGGTGTACTATCATCAGGTCACATCATCGCTCAACCCTCTCCAACAGATCACAAAGTGTTCATCATCAACAGGCAGGGTGCTCAAAGGGAAATTCCCCACAGTGATGCAATCCTGAATGCCTGCATCGATCCTATGACAGACGACCTCTACGTCGTGACATCAGATGATGAGTGTAGGACGTGTGTGGTTGACCAGGTGATGAGTGGGGGTGACACGAAGAAGAGAAGAGTAGCATCATTCCCTCTATCAACTAGAATTACGAATAGGCGGACTCACGTTTTGACATCTCGCGTGATGATGACGTCATCAGGGAAACTGATTGCTAGCAATGGAGACAACATTCTCGTAATCAAAAACAAATTTACCCTTTAAATGGCAGATCCTGTTTGATAACAATTTTCCATGTGAACTAGGTATACACTTTTAGCCTTCTTCTATTTTTATGATATAATATGATCTGTCACTTTTCAATCGAAAATTGGGACGAAATTGTTTTTTTAAACAAATGAACAAAGTCGTAGTCTTCCTTTATATGACATGTACATGGAAATATCTGCATCTAGGTATGAAGAGATACGTTATTATTGATCATGTACATGTAATTGTCTTAGAAGTTAAACATATCCTACAACAATAAATAATAATTTACTGCTTTGTTATTAAGAGAGTACATTGTAAATCATCCGTTTAGAGCCAGAAGAGAGTAAACTCTGAGTATGTACTAAGTTACTGCCCTTATAGCTCCACAAAACAACAAGTACACTTTACACGCTCATACAGGAACATGTACATAGCTGCATTGCAATATTAAAGTACATGTTTAGGTATATTCGTTTAACAGTTCAAATTTAATGATCATTTTTTCAGCTAGAGAAATCTAATCAAATGTGTTTTATAGTAATGAGTAAACCGAATATCATTTTTTTGACAAATGTGGGGGAGGGGGGGGGGCGGTGACACGCAAAACGATTTCTACCGATCCTTATACTGAGCACATATTGAAAGAAAAACCTGTTGTCTTCTCAATTTCCTTAACAAACCCTTGAAAATATGCTTTAGATTGTATGCCAGTGTCTATCATGCAAGAATATACATTTTAGATTTTTAGATATGCTCTGTACATGTAAACATGTAATTATACATTATTTTGTAGTTGCATAATACCCAGTATTTGTAAAATACAAATTTGTTGATTTATCTATGAGGCCCTTTGTTATGTATATACAGTATATGTAGTTTTATAAAAGCGATGTTAAAATAGTGAAATATGTTACAGTTTTTTTTTTTATCTAACGCACTCGCAACATGTAATTAGCTGCATAATACTTAGTTTCTGCGACATTCGATTCGTTGATTTGTATCTGGCTATGTGATATGTATTCATGGAAAAATAATGGTGGATGTATAATACAAGTAAATTTATTACATACAAATTAAAAAATGCTGCAAGATCATGAGGATGGTGATGAAGATGATGATGATAGCTTACAATGTATTGTATAGAGAGGGTATATTATATATGTTTTTTGTTAAATATCAAATTACAATTTACATTTCAGGTATGCTCTATTTATCAGTTCTAATTATATATAACATAGTTTTGTTACTAGGCTTAACGAAAAAAAAATTTCTTTCTTTTTTCAACTTTGTAAATAGTGTAAATAGTTCATTACAAAACTTTAGGAATTTTATTTGTCATATATTATATATTTGAAAGTTGTTGTAACGATTCAAGCTCTATTTGCTTATGTTTCATTACTTTTGTGTTTTCATTCTTCAAACTGTATATAAGTTGCAACTTTTCTTTGATAAAAAAATGTTATATTCTTTTTCTACACTTATTCATCCATGATCCATGTAAAATTGAAAATGATTTGTTATATTATATTAATTGTTCATGTAATGTTAACTTCAATGAATTGTGAAATTGTGAACATGCATAAATAAATAAAATAAATAAATAAATAAATGTACATGGCTGTATTACCCAGTATTTGTAAGATACGACACTGTTGATTTTATTACTCTGCCATGGGGAATATCAATATTTGATATAACTTAATAAAAACAGACAGTAAAATGATATTATACATGTAAGCTGCACAGTTTGTAATCGCTCACAATCACCACATGTAGATTATACTGATTACTTGTAACATTTAAAGGGTTGACTCTTTTATTTGCTTTGAGGCATGCTGATACATGCATGTATCTATCAAAGATGTAATAGAACAAGGTATATAACAATTCCGCAAGGTCATGAGGATGATGATGATATCTTACAAGATATTGTTAAGCGATGGTATTTTTTCAACATGTATCAATAAATGATATAATTCACAGCATTTGTAAGATTTGACTTTGTTGATTGTTAATTATTATATGAGATATGTTAATCTTTGTTGTGTAGGTCGATGGAAGAGGCCGCCATCCTATTCAAGTATCGTTTACAATCTCCTGCACTGTTTCCACAGATAGTCCGGATAATAATTAAAATTTATGATAATATGTAACAGAAATATTAAGTTTCCTTATTATAATTATGTAAATAACATTCTGACAAGAAGTTATTCGTTTTAACCATTTTGTACTACAGGTAGTTATATTTTACGTTTAATATGTTCTTTTTTATTCAGTTATTATCATTTGGGAAAATGCAAAAATAAAATAAAATCAAAACCTCTTTCTCCCCAGTCCATATGCTCCTCCCATCCCTCCTCCTTCTCATCTCCTGAGCTCCACCTCCTCCTACCCTTCTCCCTCCTCCTCCTCATTATCATCATCATCATCACCACCATCGTCATCATAATATATCACCATTATTATAACCACCACTATTATACCACTACCAAGTAATATCACCATCCTCATTCGACCACCATCATCGGTTTCATCATCATCATCATCATCATAATCTACATCATTATCATCATCATTATAATCTACATCATTATCATCATCATCATCAACATCAGTAGCATCATCGTCATCATTATCATCATCATTATAATCTACATCATTATCATCATCATCATCATCATAACCTACATCATTATCTCCATCAAAATAGAAGCCTGTGATTTTTCCAGAGAGGCGTAAAGAAATTGAGTTCAGAGAAATTTACGGCTAGAAGTATTTATTAATCAATAGGCCTAACAAATTTGCAAGACCAATCCGATAAAAAAATAAAAATTATCAATGAGAAAGGGATTACTATTACGTCATTGCCAATTCAGTTGGTGTCTTAAACATTAACATTATATCTAAAACATATATACAGTACTCATAACATGAACGTAAGTCGATCACTGACTGCCAGTTACTGTTATTGTAATAATTAATCTTTTTCTCACAACCACTCAATGGTCGTTATTATCCTGAATCATGACAGAAATCAAAATTATAAACGAATTTATTTATAGATTCATGGATGGTTTCCACTAGCAAATTCAGAATTATCTGGCGGGATGGCGAGGTGTGTGTGTGTGTGTGTGTGGGGGGGGGGGTCATCACTGCCCCAAACTTCAAATAAAACGTCATCTTATTATCAGGTGCCTTTGGAGGTCTCATGGAATGTCTAAACTTGCTGCTAGTGGCATAATTCGAAGGTAAAATTAGGGACTCATTTTCTTTAGTGTTTTTTTAGCCATGGAAGGGGATGTGAGAAGGTGCACCAGCCTCCCCCCCCCCCCCTTCCGCCATGCTCCATTCGACTTGTCGGGATATAGATTATCGACCGACGGAGAGAGAGAGATCATCTCATATACATGTAGGATTTGTAATTCCAAAATTGAAATAGAACCAGGTTATCCAAGTATCATTTATGAGAATTATAAACCTCCGGAAAAACAAACTCTACTTCATCTATGGAAGTATGGATATTTGGAATAATGAACCCAATTTCACTTTGGGAACTATAATGATCCTTCAGGTAAACGAACCTTCGGAATAACGCAAAAACTACGATCCCTATTACATTTTCAGAGTTATGACCCCCCCCCCCCCCCCCCCCAACGTATGAAAATGTGTGTTTCGGAATGACGATGGTGACCTTCGGATAAACGCGCGAACGAATGAATGAATTTATTACTATTTCTGAAATTACATAATTACAGGATAAACAAAAGTACATGTACTGTGTTAATGGTAACCCATCGAATAGCCGAATGGCTAATGAAAATGCGGCTCCTGATCATGCTGATACGTAATTATACATGTGATGTATTTCAACACTATTTAAAAGGCAATTGTCTTAAATCACATAACAAATGAAAAAAGCAAAGTACCCTATATGCCTTTAAAATGTAAAAGGAAAAAAAATAAAAAAGAGTGCCTTCACCCTTCAGCTTGTCTTATTCTTAACATGTAGTATATCATACTTTACGAACGAAATGAAATGACATAACATCATTAGAATCTTGGTTAGAGTCGTTTGCCGACCATCTCAAAACGGAATGAGATCGATGTTGGGAAGGTAGTCGACGTTGCGTCTTTGACGACGACCTCCATGACCGGCCTCACGACCACGAACACCATCGAGACCTTGATCTGTTTCGTTTTCTTGACCGTCTTTCGGGTTGGCGATGCCATCATTACCATCATGCCTTCTGCATGGTTTCTTGATAGGAATCAGGATTTCATTACGATGAGGCTGAGGCCGCCATGGTGCATCATAAGCTGAAATAAACATACAATACAAAATGATAATTTTCGTTACCTAGGGAAACAGCATCAGCTTCACACCTGTCTCTGAGTGCCCTACAATATTATTACCCCGGTGTTTACCAGGTAACCATGCATTTGCACCAGGTTGGAGAGTTAAAAACGTAGATCGATGTCGGCCAAAAGACGTTAGTGTCGCCACGCTGAGGTTCGAACCCTCAATCCTTGCATTGAATGTACAACTATACCGCGACACCAGCTTGATTTAATGGTGATGACGAAGATGAAGACAATATTAATAATAATTACGATACTATTAATTTAATATAGATCACAATAATAGTGATAATAAAATAATAACAATAATAATAACGATAGTTATAATATTAGTATTTATCATGACTATGTAATGATAAAGAGAATAATAATGACTAAAAAATATATTACTGATAATAATAACAATAATACAAAATGTTAATATTGATACCTATCATCACCGTCATCATCATCATTATCATCATCAACAATAACGAACATTAATGACAATTATAATAGTATTGTTGTAAATTGTCCTGAGAGGATGGTTGCCGTGAACGTTTTACTAAGTGGATGATTGCCAGAGGTACTACATAATTACTCACAAGCAACAAGGAATGCATCGTCATCGAATCGAATACCCTGCTCGTCGAGGTATTTAGAAAGCTGATTGTAATTCGCTGTCACATTTTCATTGACTGGTCGCCCACCTAAGGTGATTCCGTAGAACTCCCGAGGATCTTCCATGTGCACTAGCTCCACCCCAGAGTCCTTTGAAAAAATGAAATCCAAAATTATATCGATTGATTGATTATTCAAGATAATTCAATCAACATTAGGGGCCACTGCTTTTCAACAAGACAATAGTGCACACATTGTGTGCGGGCAAGAACTGAATCCAATGACCGGGGTAATAGTATATTTGTAAAGCGCTTAGAGACATTTGTATTAAGCGCTATGTAAAAATTAAATATTGTTATTATTATTATTATAGTGAGAAAGAAAGAAATAACGAGTCCTTAGATCCTGAAAACTGCCGATGTTAATGATAGCTTTGTCTACATAAAGACTAAGCGGAGTAAGGATGCCAGCAACCTGTTATAGGAGTGGGGTCTCATGGGGGACGAGGGGGGGGGGGGGGGGGTAGGGGGATTCGACACCATTCGGATATTTACACAATAAAAGGTGTTATCAGCCACTAAGCGTGGACTTCTTTTTCTAGTCCAACAGCTCGTGTGTAATGGACTGTGCCCTGAACCTACCACTACGAGGAATTCTCATTAAAAAAAGCTTCCGACGTGATATGAATTGGCAGGCTGCCCGGCCCTCCACTCCATGAACGGAACGATACCATGCGGGTTCACAACATGTCCGGTAAAGGGGTGCTTTTCACGCACCAAAGTCCGGCTCGTAGTACACACAAATCCGGCCCATATTGACTTTACACAACGGACTTAGGGGGGTGTTTTCAAAAGGAAGGAACATGCATGTGCGTATCCTAAATAACACTGAGTGGTGGGGGGGGGGGGGGGGGGCGGGGCGGGGCAGGCTGAAGTATTTTCTGGTGCATAAGATGCTTGAGCACATTACCAGGTAATTCAACTGCATTCGGTGTCAGCGAATTATGATGCAATACACATGGACACTGACTACTATGTTGTCTATGTGGTTGTAAGTTGTGTACCTTTGATGGGGGTGGGGCGGTTGCCTGCGAAACTGCAGGGATGTAGAAGAGAAGTGCGTAGATTTCGTCACAGCAAGGGAAGGATTCTGATTGGTCAGGACAAAAAGATGGCGCGGCCTTGTTTTCCGAGACTTCCATCATGATTGGTGTCGTCCGGTTAATCCCGTTGTCTGTTGTAAAAAAATTCGATGTAAAGAAAGTTTGGTAGAATAAGACGAAGTACAACATTTATGTTTGCAAGTTATAAAGTTAACGCCCCTCCTACTTTGGTTTTAAACATTTTATCGAGACTGAAAAATATACGGAATATCACACTGCCAAAAAGAAAGATAAATGGAAGTTTCATTTTAGGAGGTGGAAGATTGAAATCGAATCGGCCATCTTCACCTTACTCCCATGCCAAAGGACTGATTTATAATAATAATAATAAATAATAATAATAATAATCTTTTAAAGTCCACTCTAAATTTTATTAAGTTAAATCGAAAATGGAAATTCTTTTTGCCCAATTGATCGTGAGCCCGGCAGCCACTGAGCAGCGCCAGATCGACGTTGCTCTATATATCCCTTATTATTGATATCCATGCTAGCTTTATAAGAGAGGGGGAAAGATAGTTCATTTTTCTTGTTTGTTTCTGTTTTATTTTTATAATGCTCTTGTCCATGATCATTTTAGTTTGTATATATGATCATTATAATGTTATATCTAGTATAACAAATATCTTATACTTTTTTAAATCAATACAACATATTTAAAAAAAGATGATGTAGGCATAGTAAGATATGTAAACAAATCTTAATTCCCTTTTGTTCGAATCGGCATGTCCCCTCCATCTCCTCCCTTCCTTGTCTTTCCTCTTACTTTCTTTATAAACAAGTTTTGATGTTCAAATAGCTCCGAAAATGGGCGACTGGAGTAGCTAATTCTATTTTGGACAATGCTTACTACTAAAGTCAACAATTAGAAGTACAATGTAAACTAACAAAATATATGAATAAGTAAATTAAAGCACTGTTCTTCCAAAGCTAATATAAAGAAAAGCAAGACGTAGATAAATCAAACGAGACTTAACAAAAAACTTAAGGTTTTAGGCATGCATAATTCGAATCGATGAAATTCATCAAGTCATCAAACAAATTTAGAAGATAGTTTTGATCGTATCAATTTTTTGCCTGGATATGATTATAAATTATTTGTTAAATCCCGTTAGGGTGCGTCTTTTTGCGAGTAGAATGCATTATCCTAGTGCACATACGACTGATCTTTGTCGCTTTCATTTCACAGCAGCTAAACCAATGTTTAATAATATCTTGAAATGGATTGGAAATAATTGATCGATGATAAGATAAATTTATGTTTGATGAAAAGCATGTAGTATTTGGCGTACAAGATAATAATATTAGATTGAATCTTATCACTTCCATACAATCCAAACAAAAATCTGATCTTAATATAAAGTAATTTTATCATCTTACATCAAACGTTGGATAAATCTTCTGATATAATGGGTAATCCCGAAATGAGTGTTCCATGCTGTTTTAGGAACTGTAACAGAATTTACAAACTCTGATTTTCATTCTTACCCCTAAAGTAGTAATGGATGTCCATGTAGACTAAACCTATCGCAGTAGTTCTGTTGCAGGTTGGAGCAACCTTACGCGCCCAAACTCCTGGTTCGATCCGCCGCTTCCACATATCTAGACCATAATCTGCCAATTCAGTGTAGACGGGGCACTCTGAGCCTGAAGGGGGGAGGGGGGTGAACAAGAGGGATGGAAATGTAAATAGATAGTTGAATGACTAAATAATTAAGTAAACACATCGCTCAATAAAAAAAATAATAGTTTAGATATAAGATTGATAGATAGATAGAAAAATATAACGACGATTAATAGATACATTAATATATAGATAGGTAAATTGGATGTATAGATATATAAACAAACAAATACATTAATAAATAAATCCAGAACTAGATAAACGATGAATAAACAAATAAGTAAATAAACGCATACATAGACAACTTAATATAAAAAAAAATATATATGAAAAGTGAATGAATGTAAGTATTGAGAGACTCACGCGCACATTGGCGAATTCCATTAGGAGGCTCAGGGGTCGGGTTCGGGGTCGACGTCGGGGCTGCGGTAGTCAACGCAGTGATGAAAGTGAGAAGACAAACTGCCAACATGATTGTCGGTTCTGCTTGAAGAAAACAAAATTCTCAAACACGACGGCAACGATTTTTCAAAAATACAACATAAGTAGATAAGGGAACTCCAACAACTTTACAAACGTGCTAAGGGTTGAAATCGATCTAGGCCCAATTCATATTTTTTTTTAAGCAAATAAGGTAGGGCGGGAGGCGTATTACGTAGGTTTCATTAATTCATTTATATCCATAATTTTGTTGTTGCCTCGAGAGCCATAGCATAACGGCTTGCAACGAACACTCACGTTCACGTTCACGTGATCACGTATCACGTTTTGCGCTGTTTCGTAAAATAGGTGACTCTAATTTACGAAGTGTAGGGTCTACCATTCGTTGTTTTCCACGCCGGTAAAACACGAATGATCACGTCTTCCAAAACGTGACGTGAGTGTTTAATCAATGTTTTTATAATTGCAAGCGCTTGTTACTAAGACAAGTCATGACGTCACCGTAATATGTATGATTTGTGTGTACGGTACAGTATATATCTCTATGGTACGGTACGAGTATACGTATCGCCTGCGCCTAGCTAGCTGACAACAAAGTCGGAGAATGGGTGAGTAATTGATTGCAATATGAGTGAATTTAGTGAATTTAGTGATTAATTTTGAAAAATTTGTAATAGTTTTCGTGATCTTCGGTAATTTCTTTTCATTTTGAGACTGTTCTCAACAGATATTTGGGGAAAAGCCTAGGGAAATATTTCTCTTCAAATTGCACTTTGATTTTCATCGTCGTGAAGTAGTTTGACTGCGGTTTGCCGTCATGTCACCCAGTTAGGGCCCGGGTTCCGGCAGGCCCACCCCGTGGAATTGCGGTGCTCATCTGCAAATTTTTCAGACTGGTCAACGTCTCATGCCGGTGTAGCACAGGGTACAAAATTAGGACCAATTATTTTCCTAATAATGATAAATGATGCTTGTTTTAACTCAGAAGTACCATACTTCAAGTATGTAGACGATCTGACATTAGTTGAAAGTCGTACATTATCACAACCGTCTAAATTACCAAATACTGATTTTTATCAATGGTCTCTTCGTAATAACATGACTCTTAATCCATCGAAATGTCATTGTATGTTTATCTCTTTTTCTAAGAATATAGCTGATCAGAGACCTTTGTTTATTGGGGATGAGTGCTTAAACAGTGTACAAAAAGCAAAAATTTTAGGAATAACTGTGCAGTCCGATTTGAAATGGGACAGTCATATCTCAGACCTTTTATGCCGTGCTAATAAAAAACTTTTCATGCTTCGTATTCTCAAAACATACAGATTGCCTTTCTGTGATCTAGTAACAATTTACAAGGGATATATTCGCCCAATATTGGATTATGGAGTACCTGTTTTTAACGGAAACCTCACCCAAAGTCATATCTTAAGTTTGGAACGAATCCAGAAAAGAGCATGTAGGACCATACTAGGTGATCAATATATTAATTATGACAAAGCTCTTGAAGTGTGTTCTTTGCAGACCCTGTCAGATAGACGCAAACAATTATGCACTAATTTTGCTTCATCTCTTGTCAACAACCCACTTTGTAAACATTGGTTACCTGTTAACAATAATGTAGATTATTCACTGCGAAGAAGGACCAAGTATCGTCAATTTCATTGTAAAACGAACCGCTATAGAAATAGCTCAATTCCCTACCTAATAGACCTGTTGAATGCATGAATGAATCTTAATTGTCTATCTGTTGAATGGTCCGGTGTCTCATTGTCTGCATACATTTTTACATTTTTACATTTTACATTCCGCATTTTAAATTTTAAATTCTATGCTTCCATAATTACTTGTAACATCTTTTTAAAATGTACATTGAATAGTGATAAGGTTTTGTAGCAATCATGACATGGCAATTCAGATCAAATGGTGTTCAAGTTTTTAATTCATTTACTTATTTCTCCCCAATTTACGAAAGTCGGGAAGGAGCTTACTTGTTTTGTTGTTTATTTTTTTTAAATACCCGACACTCCTTGACACGAGAGGTCCAGGGATGAGCGAGCAGACCGTTAGCTAGTGTATGGGAGTGTGAATGGGAGTGTGTATAAGAGTGTAAATGTGAGTTCTTATGAGAGTGTCCAAGGTACAGGAGCGAGAATAGGAGCGTGTATAGGAATGAGAGCGTGTATTGAAGAGCAAAGGGCCTGCTTGCTCATCCTTTGACCTACTCTTGTGTCACCTCACAAAATATATTTTAAACGTGAATTAATTTGCCTGTTATTGCCTTAGTCATATTAGTTATGAACTTTGTTATGAATTTTGTTATATACTGTATATTATACTTTGTGACAATGTCAACCACATTTGTATGTATTATAATTCATTGCCAATGTAAATTGTTCATAATTCAGCCATCTGGCTGCGAAGTGCAATCAATAAAACCTTTTCAATCTCAATCAATCTCAATCAATTTGATCGTCATCATGAATCTAATTCATCAATTTATTGATTGAATTTAAATCTAGATTTAACTTACCTTGAAATAATCTATGAAGTATGATTTCTTTAATAATCCAAGTGGGTTAATTCTTGTTAAAATCTTTAGTAGACCCTTCTTCTAGACGTGGACTCTGTTGAGGTACTCAATACCCCCCCCCCCCCCCCCCCCCCCCCCCCCCACTGAGCAAAATATTGGCCGGCACGATTTTCGAATTTCAGCACACTAAATTTCAAATTTGCAATTATACACGCAATGGCCCAACGTATAAATTTACTCTTACTCATGTATTATACATTTGTTTCTATATTTTGTATATTGTTTGCATACCTTATGTTTTATATAATTATCCATATTTGTTGAATAACTGATTTGTTTGATTGCAGAAAATAAAGTCTTTGAAATGAAATGAAATGAAAAATTGGTGGTGTCAACTTCAGACCAGAATTATCTGTGACCATGGATAATCAAACAACTCCAAACCCTATTTTATTTAGGCCTAGATCTAGATGTAAACCTGGAACTTATTAATAAAAATATTCGAAAAACAACAACTAGGATTTGTTTATTTAATGTTTAGATTTTGTGTGGGTCCAGCATGCTTGTCTAGTTGTCATAACTCATATTCATAAGGAGTCTAAATTAAAGATTTGTTTCCAAATTGTGCAGTTCATGTTGATAAATATATTTTTGTTGGACGTTGTATAAGAAATGACCCCTAGTCCACAATTATGTTTACTTATCTGTAGTCCACCTCTTCTTGTTATAATAAACTAATTCTACTTAGTACTTCTTCGTGCTCATAGGCCATAGAAAGCACTGTGTGAGGTACACGTTAAATATTCCATTAGTTTTACTTTGTACTGTGGTTCATTAAATAGGAATGTTGATTTCCACACCATGTTAAATTTAAGGCCAACCATGACATAAAAAATAGCTATTATGCTTGATCTATTTTATTGTTAAGGAGAAAGGGATGCCTTGATTATTGTATTGGGTTTTTCCTTCTTTTTGTTCCAACAGATTGAAACTAAAGAGCTGAAAGAAGTTAACAACAGGAAGCAGAAAGTCCCATGCAGGTAAAATTACCAGGTTATTTAGCACACAAATATTAAACGATCACCTACATGTATTAATTCACTAACAAAGTAAATGGAACTAAGTTGACGTTGCAATTATAGCGCTTAGAGACTTCGGTGGTGAGCGCTTTATAAGTAACATTTTTATTATTATTATTATTATTATTAGCGTATATAGTGGAGGGTATATTTTATTCTAGTTCTGCACCTAGCATACAATTTCAATTTCAATTTCAAATTTATTCACATTTCCAACAAAACATTACAAATTATTATAAGCATTTAAAACAAATTTAAGAAATACATGTTGGAAACAGAGGGGTCCACTAAAAAGCAATGCTTGTACAAGTGTGAACACCTCAAATGAAACTTAGGAATAATGAGTAATTAAATTTACTATTCTGTAATGACAAAAGGAACTACAAAATAGGGGAAAGAAAAATGGGGATGCCAACAGAGACGAGAAAGGGACAAGACAATACTTTACACGACAAAGATAGAAGAACATGGTCATAATTATACAAAGAGTAGACAATGACAAAAAGAAGTGAGAGATCGAGGGTACAGAAAAAAATACTAAATGATGAGCTGCATGTGGGGTTGAGAAGAAGATAAGGAAAGAGAAATATTGATGTCTTTAATTTTGTTGGTTTACAAAGGAAAATGTGTCCTTATTTAAAGGAGGTCCTGTGTGCCCGCCCCCCCCCCCCCACTCAGTGTTATTTGGGGTATGCGTATGCGTGTTCCCTCCTTTTGAAAACACCCCCTAAGTCTGGTGTGTAAAGTCAATACGGGCCGGATTTTTGTGTGCTATGAGCCAGACTTTGTGAAAACTACCCCTTTACTGGACATTTTGGGAATACGCATGCGGTCCTGCCGACCCCTGAGTGGGGGGGGGGGACCTGGCCTGTGTGTAGAAGAGCCATATCTAATCCACATCCAAAGCACTACATGTAGGGTATACACAGGACCCCTCATTACTTTTTTGTAAGGGCTCCTTTCACTTCTTGAGCAATGAAGATGAAGAAGAACACAAAATAAGATGAAAGTCTGTTTATAGGATGTATTATGGTTGATATGTATCCATTAGTATCAGTTTTAAATTGAAGTACCTACTTTGTTTTCTGTCATGTAGGATGATGCTTCTCTACAGTGGGTGATGAAGGCATGCTGGTTTACAAACTCAGGAGAGGAACAAAGAAGAGATATTGACGGGATCATATCTAGAGATGCGGGCCTACTACACTTCATACGAGCAAGTGTGCTAATATACATGTAGGTACCCCAATAAACTTTTGTGGAACACATGTCATGCAGAAAATTATAGATCTGACGAATAATTGACTGAATATCACAATTGTGATTTAGATTAAAAATTAAATGTCAATATAGATGAAATATAAGTCTACGTTACGTGTGTTTCAGTAGCATTATTTCCAGTATATTCTCTGGTCCAAGTTGTTTGGTCATTTTATGTCCCATACTTAAAGGTAATACACAGTTTTAGTTTGGGGTCATAAATTTGGTTCAAATGAACATATTGGACGCATATGAGATCCTACAATATTCAGTGATCATTGTCGCGGTTGTAATCGAGTCTAAAATTATGAAATTGTAAATAATAAACTCTTTATGTTGTATAGCTCCCTCTCAAGGTCAAGATATAAATTTTTCTTGACTAAAATCGACCAATTTGCTATTCTCGTTTGGAAGTTATATATCACATCTACATATTCTGAGATTTTCATGGTCGCAGCTACCATTTGAAATTTATCAAAATTTACCGGGAGCACCAGTAAATATTTATATTCAATTTTTCTCGAAAGCAGAAGTGTTTTAGAGGCTAAGTTTTCTAGTGCTTATAATACATCCACAGGGGCATTCAAATATATCAAAATACCCAATTTTCAAAATTTCGTAAAACTTTGTATTACCTTTAACCGAGTATTATTCAATAATGAGCACGAGTTTACATCACAAGTACATTGTATTACTTATTTCATACCTTGTCTGAACCATACTCCAGCAGTCCTATCGTCTCAATGGGATCATCAGAAATAATCTAAAATGTGGTCAGAAACTAGTCTTGTACGAAAAATAGTTTCGGTTTGCCCAATAGAACCCCAAGTGAATTTCAATCCTTCCTTTTTCTGAGCAGGTATCAGGGTGTGTGTTATTAGTCGTCATTGATTTTCTTATATCTTATTTCATTTTTCCATTCAACAGACTTGGGTTATCACTACAGCCCTTTCTTCTGAAAACTAGGCTACAACTTTAGTGATGAATGCAGAAGACATCTACACGGGACTACGTCTTAAAGATGCCACCCTCATATTATGAAAGTGTACAATATAGATGGGTTTAAACTGGAATATTTACATGATATTTATTTATTATTTGTATTATATGTTTGTAGAATACCACATTCAATAAAGCTAATGAAGTTTATTATCTTGTCAACGTAGAAATAATTAAAGATAACTAATCCTCAATGAATAAACATTAAAATTCTAACAATGTAAACTACCATCTTATAAGATGAAACTGAGAACTGGGCAGAAAGATTCTCCTTGAAATTTGAGTGATAAAGATCTATCAGTCCATATCAAAGATTGAATTAATTAATGATATTTTAATTATAATTTTACTTGTTGAAATTCATTTACCTCTATGGACGGGGGGGGGGGCAGCTTGCTATCCTCTTCCTGGTGCTATTATTACATGGCCCATGGACTTAGAAAGTGAAAAGTTTTGAATTATAGCATTAGTGTTGGTGGAAGTAACGGCAGTGTTGATTGTTAATGGGAGGGGGGGGGGTTGTTTCCCCAGTGAAATTAACGGTATACCAATGTAAAGTTAATTAAAAAAAGAGAAAACTATTCTTAAAAATAAAAATTATACAGGACATGGCCTCCTAACAAAAACCCTGGTACCACTTTGGTGGTGGTGTTGTGTGTTTTTTTTTTTTTTTTGGGGGGGGGGGGGGCAAACCAATTAAAAATTTCTAGTGTTAAATTCAATTGTCTTTAAAAAAAAATTATGTCAAGATATTGAAATTAAACAATGGTTCACTTTCCTTTTTTCAAGTTAGAAAACTTGAATAAAATGCTAACCCTAAATTAAAAATGTTCTACTTCTAGCAAAGATTCTGCAAAGGCTGCAAAAGGTAGAGTGAAGAGAATCCAATTGAAATGTGGACAGTAATGGAGTGAATATGGAATGGTTGATCGTAGTTGATAACGAGGGAATGCAAATGAGTGGTAACAAGTACGACTGAAAGTGAGACAGAAAGGAATTGCAAGAGGTTGTTCAGTCAATGGAACAAACCTTGCAGAAGATAATTTTCGGAGAGAAATAGAGAAAAGGGGAATCATTAAAAAAGGAAAAGGGGCACCTATCAGTAGGAAAAGGGTACTTACAAGAAAGGAAAAGGAGGCATGTGTCATAAGGACATTGATGAGAAAGGAAAGGGGCTCTTATTAAAAAGGTAAAAGGGCACTTATTAAAAATTATAAGGGGACGCGTGACAAAGTAAAGAATAAAAAAGCCTTTTATCAGATATCACAAGAGGCACTTATGAAAAGGGAACAGTGGCACTTATAAAAGGTAAAAGGGGCATCTGTCAGATTTGAATAGGGAGTAATTAACGCAGGTGGTAAGGGGGCGTTTAATAAGTAGGCCTATGTGAAAGAATGTGTTTTTATCTCGAGTTTGTCTCATCATGCGTGGGATCTGTGGGTGCTGGGGTTCCTGAAGCAACCCTATACATGGATTTTCTTCAGTGGGTGCATATAACCCATGGACATTTTTGTAAACCTTCAAATGATGAATTATCATCGAGCCCCCCCCCCCCTCATTTTTTTTTTGTCAGCTCGTGACAAACATATAATCCAGATGAAATAATTTCTTCACAGCATATCAGTGGCGGATCCAGGGGGGGGGGGGCGAAACGGCCCCCCCCCCCTATTGGCGGCGCAAAAAAAAAGAAGAAAAAAAAAGAGGAAGAAAAGAAGAGAAAAAAAGAAAGGAGAAGAGGAGAAAAAAAGGAGAAAAGAAAAGAAAGGAGGAGAGAAAGGAAAAAAGGAGAGAAAAGAAAAGAGAAGAGAAGAGAAAAGAGAAGAGAAAAGATAACGAAATTATTGAATAGAGGGGGGGGGGGGGGCCGGGCCGGCCGCATAAAATCTCGAGCCGCGGATTCAAAGTTAAACGTTAAGAACAGCCCCTGCGCTACAAAGGTCATCACTCTGAAGTGAGAAATTTGAAAGGGCACAATATTTTGGGTGTCTTTTAAATAGAAGTTATATACTCAACAGTCAAATTCTAAATTAACGGTAGGGCCGCTTCACAACTCTTATTTTGCCCTTCATTTGGATTCAGCTCATACCAACTCGCTTGTGCTTGTATTTGAACTCATATTGGTAGTAATCATGGACAGGGGCGGCAATCCTGGGCCCGATAGGGGGACACGTCCCCCAGGAAATTTAGAAATATAGCTAGAAAGAAATATAGCGAAAAGAACGTACATATTGGGCTCAGGGATTTTCTAGAATGCATAATTTCAGCATTCAACATTGAAAAAATCTCGCTTGGTCGCTACGCCCCGGCCGGCCGCGGCCCTCGCCCGATAACACAAAACTATGACGCTCCCGGCCGTGATTTATCCATGGTTGGTGTAATAGATCTTTTTTCCATTTCATTTCTACTAACCTAATTGTGTGCCATCACAATCATGATTGTTTCATTTTCCCTTTAAAGCAGGCGCGTAGCCAAAGGCGGTAGGAGCAGTAAGATGACATATAGGACGAAAAAGGAGCAGACAAAGAAACATTTTTGAAAATTCTGACACGTCGAGAACGGTACAACGAATCGTCTTCTTTCTCTAATAATTTAATGAAATGTCAAAGCTTCCGCGCATCGCTCGGGAGGGGGGCAACTGAATTCAGAAAAGGATTGGGAGTCGAGAATTGTAAAACGAATCGTCTTCTTTGATAGTTTAATGAAACGTCAAAGTTTCCGCGCGCGGGAGGGGAAAACTGAATTCAAACAAGGATTAAGAGACGTAAATGGTATAACGATTCGTCTTCTTCCTCTAATAATTTAATGAACCGTCAAAGCTTACGCGCTATGCGCGGGCAGGGGAAAACTGAATTTAGACAAGGAGTCGAGAATGGTACAAAGAATCGTCTCCTTTCCCTTATAATTTAATGAAACGTCAAAGCTTCCGCGCTTTGCGCGTGAGGGGGGGGGGGAACTCAATTCAGACAAGGGTTAAGAGTCGAGAACGGTACAACGAATCGTCTTCTTTCTCTAACAATTTATTGAAATGTCAAAGCTTCCGCGCTTTGCGGGGGGGGGGGGAAGCTCATTTCAGACAAGGATAAAGAGTCGACGGTACAACGAATCGTATTATTTCTTTACTAATTTAATGAAATTTTAAGCTTCCGCGCAAAGCGCAGGAGGGGGAAATTGAATTTAGACAAGGATTAAGAGTCGAGAATGAAACTACGAATCATCTTCTTTCTCTAATAAATTCATTAAACTATGAAAGGCCAAAGCTTCCGTGCTTCGCGCGGGAGGGCGGGGGGGGGGGGGGAGGTGGCTGAATACAGTCAAGTTATAAGAGTCGAGAATGGTACAACAAATCTTCTTTCTCTAATAATTAATGAAAGGTCAAAGCAGGCGCGGATCCAGGATTTCTTAGGGGAGGGGGCCCAACTTTTTTTTTTTTTGATCCTCAAAAAAAAATTAATTTGCACCCCCCCCCCCTTGAGCGCCAGGGGGGGGGGGGGTGGCCCAACCCCCAAAAAAGGTAAAAATCACGTGATTTTACATGATTTTTTTCTCAAGGGGGGGTGGGGGGGGCCGGGCCCCCCGGGCAGACAAGGATTAAGAGTCGAGAATGGTACAACGAATCATCTTTCTCTAATAATTTCAATTTAAACTATAAAAAGTCATAGCTTCCGCGCTTTGCGCGGGAGGGGGAAAACTGAATTCAGACAAGGAATACGAGTCGAGAATGGTACAACAAATCGTCTTCTTTCTCTAATAATTTAATGAAACGTCAAAGCTTCTGCGCTTTGCGCGGGAGGGGGAAAACTGAATTCAGACAAGGATTAAGAGTCTAGAACGGTACAACAAATAGTCTTCTTTCTCTAATAATTTAATGAAACGTCAAAGCTTCTGCGCTTTGCGCGGGAGGGGGAAAACTGAATTCAGACAAGGAATAGGAGTCGAGAACGGTAAAACAAATCGTCTTCTTTCTCTAATAATGAAGAAAAGGTCAAAGCTTCCGCGCTTCGCGCGTAATTGGGAGGGGGTGGCAGCGAGCTGCCCGAATGTGAGTTGTTTTATATCTTTTCTCGTTTATTTTGGTGATAAATAACACTTTCACAATATTATGGTCAAATTGTTGCTCGCTCACTAGCCGAATTGTGAAACCAGAAAATTACTTTTTTCGGGCAAGAGGCTATAGTCCCCCCCCCCCCCCCCCCCCCCGATGAAAATGTCCAAAATTGTACCGGTATGGTGCTTCTAATATGACCTTGAAAAAACGGTCTGCGCAATTTTGGAATTTTGGAATATGATTTGGGAAACAAAAATGTGAAAAAGAAACCAAAGATAAACTTTAAGAAAAAAAATAGAGAGAAAGGAAAGAAATAGGCCTATTATCTTGCTCCTTTTCATTTCAATTTTCTTGCAATTTATTTATTTCTATAAATCTTCAGCCTTCTCCACTTGCATCTCTCTCTCTTTCTCTCTCTCTCTCTCTCTCTCCCTCATTATGGGATAAAAAAAATAGCATATGAACCTACTCATGTAAGGCATAATTTTTCCTATCGGTCTGTATTAATTTGAAATTATGCGAGCCAAATATTGGTACGTAATGGTGACCAGCAGTGACGTAATAGGGGGTAGTGCAGGGAGGGGCGAGTTTCCCCCTCCATCCTCCGCGAAGCTTATGACGTTGCATTAAATTATTAGAGAAAGAAGACGATTTGTTGTACCGTTTTCGACTCTTAATCCTTGTCTAAATTTAGTTCCCCCACCCCCTTATGCGCAAAGCGCGAAAGATTTGACGTTTCATTAAATTATTAGAGAAAGAAGACGAATCGTTGTACCGTTCTCGAAAATAATCTTCGTCTGAATTCAGCTCCCCCTTGATATCCCTCCTGCGCGAAGATCGAAAGCTTTTACGTTTCAGAAGACGATTCGTTGTACCGTTCTCGACTCTAATCCTTGTCTGAATTCAGTTCCCCCTCCCCTCCCGCGTTTTATGTTCCATTAAATCATTAGAGAAAGAAAACGATTCGTTGTACCGTTCTCGACTCTAATCCTCGTCTGAATTCAGTCCCCCCCCCCCCCCCCCCCCCCCTCCCGCGCGAAGCGCGGAAGCTATTACGTTTCATTAAATCATTAGAGAAAGAAGACGATTCGTATTACCATTCTCGACTCTTATCCCTTGTCTCAATTCAGTCCCCCCCCCCCCTCCCGCGCGAAGCGCAAAAGCTTTGACGTTTCATTAAAATTATTTAAGAAAGAGGACGGTTCGCTGTAACATTCTCGTCTCGTAATCCTTGTCTCAGTTCAGTCCCCCCTCCTGCGCGAAGGCTTTGATATTTCATTAAATTATTAGAGAAAGAAGACAATCGTTGTACCGTTTTCGACTCTTAATCTTTGTCTGAATTTCAAAAGTGTTTTTTGTCTGTTCCCTTTTCTTCCTACGTCCTCTTCCTTTACTATCCTCTCTTTTTTTGTGGCCGGCTTTTTTTTTTGGGGGGGGGGTGGCGCCCCACCGCCCCCTAGCTACGCGCCTGCTGTCAGATGAACATATTTTGATACCTTGTAAGGCAATAAATTACGGTCAGATAAGCATTCAGGGTCCCGCCTTAGGGCCCCTGGTGGGGTCGAGGGTGTGGAAACCCCGGAAACTCTGAGGTTTTAGGCATTTGATTACGGTCAGATGAACATATTTGTATACCTTATTTGTGACACTGGCAAGACACTGATTTGCGTGAGGTCCAGCGGGCGGAGCCCCCACAAGCTCAAGGGTTTTAGGCACTAAATTACGGTCGGATGAGTATCAAGGGGCTCACCTTAGGGCCCTTAGTTGGGTCCCGGGGGCAAAGCCCCCGTTTTAGGCGTTTAATTATTTTAACTACTCTGTCTTTCTTGCTCTCTGTCTTTCTATTTCTCTTTAATATGCTTTTTCAAAAAATTCGGGGGTGGGGAGGGAGCTGGAAGCTCCTGATCCCCGCCGTTCCGCGGGCCCTGACATGTAGGCATCTCAAGAGGCATATTTCTTGCCTGGCTGTAAATTTAGGAATTTGTCATTTTACAACAAACGCATAAAAAAGTATAATTTACTAAAGAATGAGAACAAATCTCGGAAAATTATGACATTTCAGCATTATGTGTAAACCACCGTTATGGAATTAGAAATAAACCACGATTAAATTTTATTTCCCCCGAGCCCCCCCCCCCCCCCCTCTTGTTGGCGGAAAAATCGCAACTGATCTCCCCTACCTTTCTTCTTTCTCTTTTTTTCTTTTAAGTTTGCTGGGGAGGGGGGAGGGGCAAGGTCCTTTCGGCCCCCAACCTTTTACACACATTGTTGGAGGGATTAACCGCAAATGATCTATTTCCCCTTCTTTTCTTTTATTCGTCTCCAATTTCCTTCCCTTTATCTCCTCTTTTCCTTTTTTCTTTCCATTTCTTTCCTTCTCTCTTATTTTTTTTCCTTCTCTTTCTTTTAAGTTTAGTGGGGAGGGGGGAGGGGCAGGAGGCAAGGTCATTTTGCCCCACCATGCACACCCCGATCCACAACTTGTTGGCGGGAAATTGCAACTATTACCCCCTTCTTTTCTTTTCCTCTTCTTAAATTTCCTTCCCTTTATCTCCTCTTTTCCTTTTTCTTTCCATTTCCTTCCTTCTCTCTTATTTTTTTGATTTTGGGGGGGGGGGGAAGGCAACAGCCTAGGACGCCCCCCCCCGATCTCCTTCTTCCCCCTTTTCTTTTCCCTTTCTCTCCTCTTTCCTTCTCTCTCTCTCTCTCTCTTTTTTTCCTTCCTTTTTTTTCCCTTCTTTTTTTCCCTTCTTTTTTTTCCAGGGGGGGGGGGGGGGGGGGCGGGCGGGCCCCCGGCCCCCCTGGATCCGCCTCTGGATCCTCCCCCCCCCCCCAAGTCAAGAGCCTCCCCACCCCCACCGAACTACAACTTGTTGGCGGGAAACTTGTTACTGATATCCCCCTTATTTTGTTCTCTTCTTCCTCTTTTTTTCCTTCCCTTTGTCTCCAATTTTCCTTTCATTTCTCTCTTTTTTTCCTTTCCTTTCCCTTCCTTCTCTCTGTTTCAGGTTTGCAAGGGGGATGCAAGGCCCTTTCGGCCCCCGATCCACAGGTTGTTGGCGGGATTAATCGCAACTGTTCTCCCCCTCTTTTCACCCTTTTCTTTTCCTTCCCCCATTTTTTGGGGGCGGGGGGCAAGAGCCCCCCCCCCCCCCCACCGAACTACAACTTGTTGGCGGGAAACTTGTAACCGATATCCCCCTTATTTTTTCTCTTCTTCCTCTTTTTTCCTTTTTTCTTTCACTGTCCTTCCTTCTCTCTTATTTTTTTATATGGGGGGGGGGGGGGGGGGGGGGGGGGGGGGGGGTGGTAACAACTGGGAGGCAAGGCCCTTCCCCGCCCCCCCCCCGATCTCCTTTTTTCCCCCAGTTTCTTTCTCTTCTTCCATTTCCCTTTCTCTCCTCTTTCCCTTCTTTTCAATCTCTCTCTCTCTCTCTCTCTCTTCTCTCTTTTTCTGTTTTTTCCTTTTTCCTTTTTCCGGGGGGGGGGGGGGGCCTTGATCCGCGCCAGAGTTACACAACATATTCTGACCTGAAGCAGCTTTTTTGCTATTAGTCTCTTCTCAATGACAATTTGCATTATTTTTTTAAACGCCAGCGTCAATTTACGTGAGCTTTCGTAGATTGCATATAGCAAAATAACTATTTGTTGGGTCACGTAACCCAACACTTCGTAGATTTGGGTGACCTGTTTCACAAAAGGGCGCAATACGTGATACGTGATCACGTGATCACGTGTTACGTGATACGTGAGTGTTCGTTGCAAGCCTAGCATAACGGCATTGCATGTGATGATTATATGCAAGAAATCGCCACTCCAGGTGGTAACATTTGCGTAAGCATGATAATTTGAAATTACGAGTATAAATAAAGGAAATTTTCAGGGAGGTTTGGAAACACTAAAAAAAGCTTCATACATGCAGCGATTTTCACCTTTTTTGTTTAGGAAGTCATATTTTCCCACTTATATAGACATTTTCAAGCCCCCTTTTTTTAGTGAAGTTCTAAACTAGTATTATCTTTCAAATGCCGTTGAAATTTGACCTTTTCATTATTTGGGCCCGCAAATGAGACATAGTACTTTTAAAGAAAAACAAAAGTTTCCCGTCACTCCAACCTCAAACACATTATAGCTGATTAAGTTAGGATCACTCTGACACTTGTCAAGTAGCATCTACACCTGGTCCTAATTTTTCCCCACGTTTTGCGAGCGAATATGGAGAGATTCGGGCATCTCGTTTGACAGAATAATCCTGTTTCTAAACGGTGGTGATCAAGTCAAGCGAACGAGCGTGGTCAAATTGTTATCATGATATAAAAGATGAAATATGTATTCAGGCACCTCGCTGTCAAATAGAAGGTTATTCGGGCACTTCGTTGCTTAAATATCGTGGTATTCAGGCACTTCCTTTCCAGAAATAATCTTGGTTTTAAAGGTTACGAGCAAGCTGAGCAAGCGAGGAAGAGAGACGCTCTATCACCTTTAAAATGCTCTTGAAAGTACATGCAACATTATAAATCATTTTTGACCCTTCGCTAACCACCATGATCTTACCCTTTAAAACTGAAGTGAAAATGAATTGACAACACTGCGTCCACAAAACGTAACTTACCAATCGCTTACTGTATTTTGTAGAAATTCTTAGACAGTCCTGCAAACGGCCACCCTTTGGGCTGCTCAGTGTATGAAGTTCTCGTCTGCCCGTATCAGCAGCAATGACTCCAAGATGATGATACCATGAACCTAATACAAGTTCATGATGATACTGATGGTTTTAAACGGAATTCCAAACCATCGTCCGTGCCAAAACACTGCTGATAACAACATCACGTGACAACCTTTCTCCATTGTGACGTAGCCATGACCCGTCGACCTCTATTCCAACGGATGTATTCATATTACACTAGAGGTAAGAAACCGGATAAGTTGAAGAGTTCCGCAATTCCAGGTCAGCCAAGTTCGCACGATCGAAGAGCGCCTGGTACTGGTTGGTATTTGGAAATGTCGTAATCGTTAGGGATTTTTCTCTTTTTCCCCTTATTCTCCCACTTTTCTAGTTTGTTGAACCCTTTCCCTGTGTCTCAAACGTGTCATGATGCGACTAAGTTAATTTGTTTGGATTAGCATGCAGGTGGCGCTTGTAAAATGGCAACTGGCCGGAATGCTCCCCAGGGAGTTGAAAATATGCATACACTATGAGCGGTAAGTCTGAATCCGATGACAGGGGAAATAATACTGCGCCTAGAAACAAAGTATTATGAACATTATAAATGTGCATAGTATTATTATTATTATTTCCTTCTTTCGTTTTCTCTCTCTGTCTCTCTCTGTCTCTCTCTCTCTCTCGTTCTCTAACCTCCTTTCCCAATCCCCCTCTCTCTCTTTTTCTCTCTCATAACTTATCATCCCACCCCCTGAAAGAAACAATATATACTCTTAAATGTATAGTAAAATCACTCCGAACAGACGATATCGTATGATTTGGTTTAACTTCCAAAATCTCATTTACATGGTTACGATTGGTTTCGATCTAAAATTAAGTTGAGATCAATGATCAATTCGAATCATCCAGATCGTCTACATATGCAATCTCTTGTTTCTGGTTCTTATACGGGAGGAGGGGGGGGGGGTGCTATACAATCAGGGAAACGCGAAGAACGGAAAGAAATTTGGGGAAATAGAGATAATACAAAACGAGGAAGACTTTGTAGAAGTAGAAATCAAGAAAGAGTGAGGTATGAGAGGACCAATTAAAACGGGAGTAAGTAAACGAGAGAGGGTCTTGGCTAATATAATGATAATAGTGATGATGATAATAATAATAAATATACTACTACCACTACAACTACTACTACAACAACTACTACTACAGCAACTAATACTACTACTACTACTCCTACTACTACTACTCCTACTACTACTACTTTCCCACATTCCGTTTTAGAGAATGTGGTTATAGTGAAATCAGTTCAACAATGATGCCACTTTTTATCTTTCGTCACACCGGAGTAGAGACATTTCAGGCCTCAAATTGCATACCTTTGGTTGTTGTTAGGTAGGATAAGCCATAATGCCTGTTCTTCCTGGTGGCAATTGATGTATGCAATTTATATTCCGACTATTGAAATACAGGTGAATAAAATAATTTGTAACGAGGCACTAAAAGTTTGTGTATTCAATTTGATTACATTACGAAAATGGTCTTTTCTAGCGGTTGAACTTTCGGATACTTCATCAGTTACGTAGCTATAAACGACAACGAGATAGGGGGAGGGGGGTTAACGACTCGAATGACGAAAATATAAAGAAAGGTAAAAAGAAAGAAATAACAATAATGAGAAGGAAAAACGTAAAGAATGAAAAGAAGATTTGAGGACCCACTCCCATGCCTTCCCCTGATTCACTTTGGTGAAAAGAAGTTAATGGTTACGGCGCTGTTGAATATGCTTTTTACACAATAACTCACATATCTAATCCAACGATGCAGGTCAGCCCAGCGGCTTCTATTTTCAACACTCTGCCAATGCTTAAAAGGCTGTCTTTTGGGGTTAGATAGTGCATATCTGTTTTGCGTCCTCTGTAATTTGAGTAAATCTTTCTTTTTGCACTTGCCCCAAACAGCTTAACAGTAATCGATATGTGGAAGAATGAGGGAGTGATAAAGATGGCTAACCTGGGTAAATAAAGCGTTATTATTGTAATTATTAACGACATTTTCTTTTTAACAAGCTCCTCTAGATTCTTGATTATGCAGTATTATTTAGGTTCATCATAATAATGATGAAGATAATGATGTTGCACGCTGTTTGATGTTATGTTATGTGTGAGATGAATTGTGAATATGTCGTTGTGCAGGTAATAAGACTTTTCTCAATGATGCTGTTGATTGTTCTTTTACAAAGTAAATCACATTCGTAATTTAACGGTCGTCACACTCATGATACTCCACAAAACCCCGCTCGGCACATTATACATTAAAAGAAAAAGAAAAATCACCGAGTGCGTAAAATTACAAAAATGAGTACACTTTATTAACGATTACCAGACTTCTTAACGATGCATTCAATACATTTGTTAGGGGATTTGTCGATTGTTGTTTTCCAGCCAATTTAACATTAACTTCAAGCGTAATTTGTTATAATTTTCGTTTATTTCTCAAAACAGAACGTTAATGAATAATTTCAATGAATCATTTCTCGACTGACTGAGTTTCCAATAATACAAAAGATTTCTTAAAAATGTTTACACTTATTCACACATAATATAGAATGTATTGTTTTGTCTTTTTTTCTTTGAAAAAATAAATCTGTTCGAATTTTTGGATAAATGCAAAGCATCCAATATAATCTCGGGTGGTCTCGGTGATACACGTCGCTGCTCTTACGAAGGCTGGATGATGAGGCTTTACCTGGATGGCGCTATGGTTGGTGCTGTGATTGGATAGCGGGTCGGAGTTTGCTTTATTTTGAGCAGGCGCGAGAAAAATAGTCTTTCTCACGGCGTCAAAATAACCTCTGCGACGCATGAGTGGTACGGAAAAGAAAGACGCAGGCGGCCGTGTGGGGTGGGGGGGGGGGGGAAGCGGGGGGGGGGGGGACAAGTAAAACTATTCTCTGACAATCACCCCGCCCCAAAACCCAAGATAAAAGGTCATCTTATTTTCAGGGTTCTTTGGAGGTCTCAAGCTGCCAATGGCACAATTTGAAGGTCCAATTAAGGACTCATTTTCTTTAGTGCAGGTTTTGCCATGGAAGGGGATATAAGAAGATGCCCATAGCCCCCTCCATTCCGCTTGTTGGGATCTAGATTATCGACCAAGACAGAGAGAGAGAGAGGGAGAGACATAGAAAGAGAGAGAGAGAGAGAGAGAAAGAGATATCATCTCATATAAATGTATGCTTTGAAACAAAACAAATTATCATTTTTCGGAATTACAAACATTCGGAAAAACAAACCCTATTTCATGAATGGAAATATGGATATTTGGAATAATGAACCCTATTTCACTTTCGGAACTATCACTATGAACATGACAGACAATGAAAGCGGACAAAATATACAGTTCCTCAGGTAGACAAAGGAACATCCCTTCACTGCTATTATGTAAAAATGTGTAGAACAGGTGAATATGCATGTGACACCTGTTCTACACATTTTTAGATAATAGCAGTGAAGGGATGTCCCTTTGTCTACCTGAGGAACTGTATATTTTGTCCGCTTTCATTGTCTGTCATGTTCATAGTGTATAATTAATGATCCTCCAGGAAACCGAACCTTTGGAATAACGCAACAACTATGAACCCTACAACGTTTTCGGAATTATGCCCCCCCCCCCCGCATGAAAAAAATTGTGTTTCGGAATGACCACGAACGAGTGAATGAATTTATTACCATTTCTGAAAGAACATAATTACAGGGTATAACAAAAATAACTTCATTATGGTAATAGGAGACCACTGAACTGCCGAATTGGCTTGGCTCTCTTGTCGTTCGTTCTGTTGTCCGTCGTTCTCGTAGTCGAAGCCATCATTACCATCATGACTTCCGCCTGGTTTCTTGATAGGAATCAGGATTTCATTACGATGAGGCAGAGGCCGCCGTGATGAGTCATACACTGTAACAAACATACAATAAATAAATACATTTGTTATAAGTTTCTTGACCTAGGGAAACATCATCAGCTTCACGCGCTGTTCCCCCTGAGGGCCCTTCAATTTGTCTAATATTACCCCGGCGATTGCCAGGTAACCATGCATTTACACCGGTTTGGAGAGTTGAAAACGTAGATCTATGTCGGTCAAATGACGTTAGTGCCGGCACACTGAGTTTGGATTGAGATTCAAGTGATTAAGCAACTGTACCACGAGACCGTTATAATGTAATGATGATGATGAAGATGAAGACAATATTAATATTAACAATGATAATAATAATGAAATAAGGATAATGATCTAATAGCAATAATAATAAAAATGATAATAATGAAATATTGATAATAATAAATACGAATGATGCAATAATAATGGTAATAATAATTATAATAATGGTAATAATAATTATAATAATGGTAATAATAATTATAATAATGGTAAAAATAATTATAATGAGGGTAATAGTAATTATACTAATGGTTATAATAATTATAATAATGGTAATAATAATTATAATAATGGTAATAATAATTATAATAATAGTAATAATAATTATAATAATTATAATAATAAAATAATAATGAAAATAATGCAAACAAAAGAATATTTTATCATCATCGTCCTCATCATCAACAGTGATGAACAATAATAATATCATTGTTGTATGCTGCCCTGAGAGGATGGTTGCCGCAAACGTTTTCCTACGTGCCAGAGGTACTACATTACTCACTTGCAACAAGGAAAGCGTCGTCCTCGAATGGAATGCCCTTATCGTCTAGGAATTCAGAAAGCTGCTTGTATTTCGCTGTCACATTGTGAGTGACCGGTCGCCCACCGAAGGTGATGCCGTAGAACTCCCGGGGATCTTCCATGTGCACTAGCTCCACCCCAGATTCCTAAACAAATTAAATCCACAATATCGATTAATCCTACTGAAGAAAATGTCTTTACACCAAGTCATTTTGTACTTCAATCTTTCAAAGAGTTCAATGGATTTAATACATTTCCCGCTGACTATTATGTTTTCAAACTGAAGTTTAGGATTTGTTTAAGGGTTGGGGGAAATGGGATGGTCGAAACATGCCCCCATTGTTTCGGCCTTATTCAAAATCATATCAACTATAGACCCGTGCCTACCTGGTTGATGAAAGAGTGTTTAGATGACCCCCTGCCATTTATAACTCAACTTATGAATCTGTCCTTGTCTTGCGGAATAGTACCTGCACTATACAATAAATCCCATGTGTTTCCACTTTTGAAGAAGAAGCATTCTGGATCCAGACGAATTCAGGCATTACAGGCCAATCTCCAATTTGATGTTCATTTCAAATGTCCTTGAGAGGATTGTCACAGCTCAACTTCGTGCATACCTGGAGACGAATTACCTGTTCAGCATACAAACAGTTCCATTTAACAGAGACTGCCTTCATCAAAGTCTACAATTTGATCTGCTACTGGCGGTCGATAAAGGGCTAGAGGCTGTTTTGGTTTTGCTTGATTTCTCTGCTGCTTTTGGAATGATCGACCATGCCAAATTGATGTGCCGTTTGCGTCATGATTATGGATTTGATGAAAAAGTACTGCAGTGGCTTGTTTCTTACCTGGAGGACCGTAATCAGGTTATTGTTGTCAACAGAGTTCCTTCTAAAGCATTCCCACTCCCCCTCTTTTTGCTAGCTGTACACGAGTCTGCCCTGTGAGGTCATCCATGCTCATGATGGCGTCATGCATATGATGTATGCCGACGGAAACGCAACTGTACATAGTGCTCAAGCAAAATGATGCTTCCAGTGGCATTTCCAAGCTCAACAGGTGCATCAGTGACATGAAAAGCTGGTCCTGCGGCAACAATCTTGTGTTCAACGGCACAAAAACAGAAGTTATCCATATAACTTCCATGTTTTGCGATTCCAGTGAGCTATCTGATGTTGACATGGATGGGACATCAATCTCTCTTTCCAAATCTGCCAAGGATCTGGGAGTCACAGTGGACAACGTGCTGAATGTGAAACAGGATATACGCAACGTATGTCGTATCGCAGATTTCGGGATCCACAAAGTTGGATAACTGCGAAAAATCCTAGATCAAATTTCCATTCGTCGTCTTCTTAATTCCTTTGTAACTTCCCACCTTGGTTTCTGCAACGGACTATTAATCAATCTCCCTAGCTCTCATTTAGCCCTTCTTCAACATATTCATGCAGAACAAAGCAACACGCCTCATCACACCTACAAGAAAATATGAACACATCATGCCGATCATTCGTTCTCTACACCGGCTCCCCCTCCAACAGCGTGTCAAATTCAAGATTCTCCTGCTGATATACAAGGCCTTTCACAAACTTGCTCTCTCATATCTCTCGGAACTCATCACTCCTAAAACTCATACTTCATCTATGCGTCTTCGATCATCGTCTACAGCACATCTTCATCTAGCCCCAGGCACTCTCACCCACACCGGCTATGGCGATCCTATTTTTTTCTGTTTGTGCCCCCAACTTTGAAACAAACTTCCCCATGGAATACGCGAGTCCCGAACGTCAGAAACTTTCAAAAGTAAACTTAAGACTTATCTGTTCAATATGTAATGTAATCATATTTCTTTTGTTAATTTATAAAGCGTTATGTAGATTTTCGTTGGAAATCGTTGTTATAATTATGTAAATGTATCATGTATAATATTGTTGTAACTTGTTTGTTAACATTAATTACTTTGTATTTTTGTAAGCGCGTAGAAACATTGTTTTAAACACTTAATATATGTAATATATTATTATTATTATATTATTAAAATGATTTAATTAACATTTGGGGGTCACTGCTTTTCACGAGAAAATAATGAGAAAGGATGATTTAACGATTCCTTCGATCCTCAAAACTGCCGATGTAAATGATAGCCTTGTCTACAGAAAGACTAAGGGAGTAAGGATGCCAGAAACCTGATACTACGCCTTCGATGATTATTATAGGAGTGGGGTCTCATGGGGGGGGGGGGGGGGTAGACACCACTCGGATTTTTACCCAATTAAAGCTTTTCTCAGCCACTATTAAAGGTGGACTTCCCTTCCAAGGCCGTCAGCTCCTGTGTAAAGCGCTATACCCTGAACCTACCGCCATGAGGATGTATCATTTAAAAAAAGCTCCCTTCAACGTCGAGATATGAATTGGCAAACTAAAGTATATTCTGGTGCCTATAATATGCTTGATCACATCATTAGGTAAGTCAACCAAATCTGGTGTCAGCGAATTAGGATTCAATACACACGGACACTGACTACTAGTACTATGTTGTCTATGTGGCTTTAAGTTTCTTACCTTCGATGGGGGTGGGGCGGTTGCCTGCGAAACTGCAGGAATGTAGAAGAGAAGTGCGTAGGTTTTGTCACAGCAAGGGAAGAATTTTGATTTGTCAGGACAGAAAGATGGCTCGGCCTTGTTTTCCGAGATTTCCATCATCAGCGGTGTTGTCCGATTAATCCCGTTGTCTAGTAAAACAATTCGACGTAAAGAAAGACGAAAAGTAGAAAAAGACGAAGTAGGCCTAATTCAAGATTTAGGTTAGCAAGTTTCAAAGACATTACACCCCTCCTTCCTTGGTTTTAAACAATTTATAAAAACTTTAATATATACGGAATACTTCTCTGCCCAAAAGAAAGGCAAATTGAAGTTTCATTTTAGGATGTGGAAGATTGAAATCTAATCTGTCATCTTCACCTTTCTCCCCATGTCAAAGGAGTGATTTAAAATGATATTCATGCCAATTTGTTAGGGGGAGGGGAGTCCATGTTTCTTGTTTGTTTCTGTTCGAAATAATAATTGATCAATGATAAGCTAGATCTACATTGGAAAGAAAGCGTGATGTATTTGGCGTATAAGATAATACAATTGGATTGAATTGATTCACTTCCATAAAATCCCCCGTAAAAGCTTACCTTATTCAAGGTAACGTTATCATCTAGAATGAAATGTTGGATAAGCCCTCTGATAAATTGGGTAATTCCGTAATAAGTGTTCTATGCTTTTTTTTCTGATTCTCGAATCTTACCCCTAAAGTAGTTATGCATGTCCATGTAGACTAGACCTATCGCAGTAGTTCGGTTGCAGGTTGGAGCAACCTTACGCACCCAAACTCCTGGTTCGATCCGTCTCTTCCACATATCCAGACCATAATCTTCCAAATCCGTATAGACGGGGCACTCTGAGCCTGGAGGGGGGGGGGGGGGGGGCAAACAAGAGGGATGGAAATGTTAGTAGAGTCAAACAATTGCATCGATGGATATAAATGGATAAATAGATAAATAATGACTAAATAATTAAGTATTGTATTGTATTTTGCATTTATTAATATTTATTTCCTTCTCAATAGTACAATATAAAAAACAATGTATATATACATGATATATGTAACAATTATTTCAACATAGAGTATACAGTAAATAATTTAGATACGGAAGGAGGCGAAATCCCGGAAAGCATAGCTTTAGTTGGGAACGCCCATTATAAATTAACACAGTTACCGAGAGAACATTATGGATATTACTATGAAAATTACATTTTATATAGCAGAAAGTTGATAGGAAAGAACAAAAATAGTAAATGGAACAGAGAGAAGAAAAAAAAATGAGGAGATAATTAATTATAGGAAGGTATGTTCACTTATAAAGAGAAAGTTACCTCAATTTGGTTGTGCATGTGTCTGTGATTACATCATAAAAATAACGAAGTACTACAATTTTAAAATAGACAGCGGATACATATCATTAAAAACAAGCAAAATCATCAAACAGACAACAGCTTTATCCGACAGCATCGTCCTGGCCTCCTGGGAATATGCATATGGTAATAGCAACAGCTAAGGCATTTACGTAAGTGATCAAAATACAAACATGTCATTGAATTCCACAAGAGGTCATTTTACACATAAAAACAAGGGAGGGTATCAATATCGAGCAATTAAATACATTTTTGCCTTAAAGGCCCGGTCACACAGCCTTTCGCGTCTGTATCGCGGGTAAAATTTCGCGATTTTTTTTTGCCCGCGGTTGCCCGTGGTGGAAAATGTGCAAAATTGGCTTACCCGCGGTTTACCCGTGGTATGCCCGCGGAACAGACGCCGGCGACTGTTCCGCGTCCTTATCGCGGGTGAAGCGCGGCGGTACCGCGGCCTACCACGCTTACACGCGGTACACACGCTAATGCACGTGATAACAACGCGGTACAGACGCGGAACAAACGTGCTATGACCGTGCTCCACCCGCGATTACCCGCTAAAATTTCGCGTCCAATTCCGCGTGTAACCACGTCTTAACCGCGGCCGTAGCACGTCCTAGCACGTTCGTTCCGCGTCTGTACCGCGTCTTTACCGCGTGTGTACCACGTGTACCGCCCGCGATTACCCGCGGTCTAAATTTTTGGGCAGCCCAAAACTTTTTCGCGCGGCCAACCGCGTGTGAATTTCTTACCGCGTGTAACGACGGGTAAAGTACGGCTGTATCGCGTCTTTATCGCGACCTCAAAGCGTCCAACAGCGTCTGCTTCACGGGCAGAAATTTTTGGCCGTGATTCGGCCGCGATACGCCCGTGGAGGGCTGTGTGACCGGGCCTTAAAGGCCCGGTCACACAGCCTTTCGCGTCTGTATCGCGGGTAAAATTTCGCGATTTTATTTTGCCCGCGGTTGCCCGTGGTGGAAAAATGTGCAAAATTGGCTTACCCGCGGTTTACCCGTGGTATGCCCGCGGAACAGACGCCGGCGACTGTTCCGCGTCCTTATCGCGGGTGAAGCGCGGCGGTACCGCGGCCTACCACGCTTACACGCGGTACACACGCTAATGCACGTGATAACAACGCGGTACAGACGCGGAACAAACGTGATATGACCGTGCTCCACCCGCGATTACCCGCTAAAATTTCGCGTCCAATTCCGCGTGTAACCACGTCTTAACCGCGGCCGTAGCACGTCCTAGCACGTTCGTTCCGCGTCTGTACCGCGTCTGTACCGCGTCTTTACCGCGTGTGCACCACGTGTACCGCCCGCGATTACCCGCGGTCTAAATTTTTGGGCAGCCCAAAACTTTTTCGCGCGGCTAACCGCGTGTGAATTTCTTACCGCGTGTAACGACGGGTAAAGTACGGCTGTATCGCGTCTTTATCGCGACCTCAAAGCGTCCAACAGCGTCTGCTTCACGGGCAGAAATTTTTGGCCGTGATTCGGCCGCGATACGCCCGTAAAGGGCTGTGTGACCGGGCCTTTACGGGGAAAAGTCTGCAAGGAGAGCGATTTGTGTAGAATAGATGGTAAGGTGTTCCAAAATTTTGGCCCAGAGTATCGAATGTCAAATTGAAATCTTCGGGTTCTACGTTTAGGGAGACGAATGTTGGCAGCGCTTCTCGTATTATAAGTATTGGTTTCCGGGTTGCAAACACATCACTCAAAAAAATAAATGGTTTAGATATAAGATTGATAGATAGATAAATGAATATATATATATAAACAATTGAATGAATTCATGAATAACTACACATCTAGATAAATAAATGAATACAAAAATAAATAAGTAAATGCATACATAGACAACTATAAAATACAAATATATATATATATATATAACAAGTGAATTAAGGTAATTCGTGAAAGACTCACGTGCACATTGACGAATTCCATTAGGAGGCTCGGGTGCCGGGGCTGCGGTAGTTAAAGCAGCGACGAAAGTGAGGAGACAAACTGCCAACATTATTGGTGATTCTGTGTGAAGAAAATAGATAGGCCCTATTGAAAAAAGTTCTCAAACACGACGGCAAAGATTTTTCGAAAATACAACGTAAGACATCGCCACTCCCAGTGGTAACATTTGCGTACGCATGATAATTTGAAATAACGCATATGATGAAGGTAAATTTAAAAACCTACATACAGGCTAATGTAATATATATTCAGGCACCTCACTGTCAAATAGAAGGCTATTCGGGTACTTTGTCGGTCTGCTGCCAGTAATAATCCTGTTTTTAAAGGTTGCGAGGAAGAAAAACACTCTATCATGATTAAAATGCTATTTCTCATGAAATTACGTAGTTCAGCGGTTTGTTTTCCACGAAATGTACACTTTTTGTGAAAAAAATAATGAGGCACTCTTTGAGAATGTGTACTCGATGAGCCAAAATAGGGTTAGACCTACAGTTGTTATACAGGGCCCATTTTGTACTTGTCTTTAGTAAAACGGGGACACGTACGTATTAAGTTAAATATTCTTGAAAGTGTGCAAAATTAGAGAGTCATTTTGTACTCCGCGTCAAACACCATGATCATACAATTTAGAACAGTTGTTGAAAATGAAGTGGCATCACTGCGTCAACAAAACGTAACTTACTGTATTTGTAGAGAGTAGACAGTCCTGCAAATAGCCACCCTTTTTGCTGCTCAGTGTATGAAGTTCTTGTCTGCCCTTATCGACAACTTTGACTGCAAGATAAGGACACGGGTGGTTTTATACAGGAACCAAAACACTGCTGAAAAACAACATCACGAGACAACATACTCGTTTGTGACGTAGCCATGTTCCGTCACCTTCATACCCACAGATGTTTTCATATTCAAAACAGGAAAGAAACCGGATAAGATGAAGATCTCATTGTTTCCAGGTCAGGCAAGGTCGCACCCAACAGCACCTGGTAATGGTTGGTATTTGGGGTTTTTCTGTTCATCCTTTATTCTCCCAGTTGTTAGTTTGTTCTCACTATGAACATGACGGACAAAGAAAGCGGACAAAATATACAGTTCCTCATTCTACCCTCAACAATTGCTGTGGTAGACAAAGGAAAATCCCTTCACTGCTATTATGTAAAAATGTATAGAACAGGTGTCACATACATATTCACCTGTTCTACACATTTTTAAATAATAGCAGTGAAGGGATGTTCCTTTGTCTACCACAGCAATTGTTGAGGGTAGAATGAGGAACTGTATAGTTTGTCCGCTTTCTTTGTCCGTCATATTCATAGTGTCTCTCTCTATCTCTCCCCCATCTCTCTCTCTCTCTCTCTCTCTCTCTGAAACCCCTTTCTCTGTGTCTCTCCATTTATAACCATGATAATTTTTTCTTTTATTTTTTCATACAAATCTTTTTCTTCAAAAACATATAATTTCCTTCAAAGGTAATACAAAGTTTTGGGAAATTTTAAAAATTGGCTGGATAGTGATTCTTTACAATTGTGATATATTTGGATGCCCATGTGGATGTTTTAAAAGCACTAGAAAATATATCCCCTAAAACACTTCTGTTTTCGAGAAAAGTTGAATATCAAAATTTACCGGTGCTCCCGGTAAATTGTGATAAATTTCAAATAGCGCCTACGTTGTTGTGTTGTTGTTGTTGTTGTGTTTTGAGTTATTGGCGATTAGTCAGTGATTTGACTATTGTCGCCAAATTACTTTACGGCACGTGTTATATCTCTCAATTTTGGATTAAAAAAAAATATATATATATTTATTTCGTTTTATATTTATCTATCTTTTAAGATAGTATCGTAAAATAATATCGTAAGCAAAACATTCATGGGCTTTGTTAGTGTTTCTTAACAGTACGTGCAGATTATTTGTTATATCACATACACACCATACATAAATATGTATATAAGATAGCACCTACACAAGCTTCTATATTCAGTAATCTTATCATACCTTTTATTATTGTTGTTACTTTTTCTTATTTTATTTTCTTAATACATTATGTTATTATATTTTTAATGTACTGAGTGTAAGTTAACATATTTATAATATCGTATTATGTTTTACTGTTCTTATTTTATTTTCTTATTACATTAATTATGATTGTTATTATATTTTTAATGTACTGAGTGTAATTTAGCATATTATAATATTGTATAATGTTTTACTATTCTTATTTTATTTTCTTATTACATTATGTTATTATATTTTTAATGTACTGAGTGTAATTTAACATATTTATAATATTGTATTATGTTTTACTGTTCTTATTTTATTTTCTTATTACATTATGTTATTATATTTTTAATGTACTGAGTGTAATTTAGCATATTTATAATATTGTATTATATTTTACTGTTCATCAAGGGAGGTATTACTTCCTGATAGGGAACCGTTTCGTTCTGAGAAAGAACCGTACAATAGCTTTTTGTATACTGGACTCACTCTTTTTTAAGTATTCCATAATTTTTTCAGGTTGGGATTCGTTAATTTCTGTTAGAAACATAGCCCTTTCTATAATATAGTTAGGGCAATGTACTAAAAAATGTTTTACAGTCTCTATTTCACTGGGGCATCTATTACAGAAACCAGTAGCATGAATTCCCAATCTGAGGAGATCCTGGTTAAGTCCAAGGACTCCAAAGCGGAGTCGATGAATTATTGTTGAATGTTGTCTCTCTAATGAACATATATATGGTTTATTAACATCTTTTTGATATGTTTTCAAATACGAGTTGGTTTTGTTCCACCTTTCTTGCCAAAGGAGTTTGGAACTTGTAGTAATTAAGCTTTTCATTTCTGACATATTTAGATTACTACGGCTAAACAATGGTAGCTACGACAATACAAATCTCAGAATATGTAGATGTGATATATAATTTACAAACGGAAATAGCCAATTGCTCGATTTTATTCAAGAAACATTGTTTCATTGCTAAACTGATATCTTGACCTTGAGAGGGAGCTATACAACATAAAGAGTTTATGATTTACAATTTCATCATTTTAGACCCGATTTCAACCGCGACAACGATCTCTGAATATTGTAGGATTGCATATACTTCCAATATGTTCGTTTGAACAAAATTTATTACCACAATACCAAAACTGTGTATTCCCTTTAAGAAGATTTTCGATCAAGACATAAATTCACCCTTGGTATGATTATTGCCAAATACACTGTCGCTCATATAGTTGGAATATTTTTTTTTTACCCCAATTTATGGAATTATTTTGATAATGATTTATTCTAACTGATCTAGATAAAAGTATACATTCTCAGATTTTATTGAATAATAATTTGCCAGTGTTTGTTTTGCGTGACTGTTAAGGCATGTGTATGCTACTATGCTTATCAACTAGGTGACCTACGCGCTTAAGTCATAAATGACAGTAATGAGGAATAATGCCCCATTAAAAGGCACTAAGATGGCATATCGACACGGTTTTGACCCTGGGGCCTCACAGTTACGAGGCCATTGCTTTGCTATTGAACCATGACTGTACGCAGCGGGGGCTTCAGGGTAGGTGGCAGTTCCCACAAATTAAAAAACACAAAGAAAATGCAATAAATTTTCAATTATTCATTGAAAAAATCTTCTGTGTGCCCATGCCTTGAGCCATAATGCATGGTCGTAGGTCGAGGATTTTTTTATGTTGAGGATCGGGGTAAAATAAAATGAATTAGGCCTATTGAAAAATTGTTGTACATTGTGGTGAAACGATTTTCTCAATGACGATGTTGATTGTTCTTTTACACAATAAATCTGTGACATTCGTAATTTAACGGTCGTCACACTGACGATTTATTAGCTTCTCTGCACCTAATACATTAAAAGGAAAACGAAATCGGTCAGTGGTTAAAATTACAAAATTAATGTATTTTACAAAGAAAATACCAGACTTCTTCACGGTGCATTTACTAGCTTTGTTAGGGAAATGTCGATTGTTGTTTACCAGCCAATTTAACTTTGGCTTCGCGCGTCATTTTGTTCTAATTTTCGTATATTTCATATCAAAATCATTTCTCAAAATAGACCATGAATGAATAATTTCCATTGAATCGTTTCTCGATTGACTGAATATCCTTTTTAAAAAAATGTGTTGTTTTGTCTTTCTTTCTTTAAGCAAAAATATATTTTTGAACTTTTGGATAAATGCAAAGCATCCAATGTTTTCTGGGGAGGGTCTCTGTACATTAATGCTCCATCACTGTGGCGCGGATCCAGCCGGCGAAAGGGGAGGGGGCCCGCTTCGTGAAAAAATATTTTGCGGCGAAAATTTTAAAATTGAGCCGGCCGAGAATTCGCTCAGGGAGGGGGGGGGGGTAGTGAGCACTCATTTTTTGGAGGCCCTCGGAAATTTGAAAGATAGCATCCCCCTTTTGAACGCCAGGGGGGGGGGCATCTCCAAAAAAAGGTGAAATTAACGTGTTTTTCCCAAGGGGGGCCGCCCCCCCCCCCTGGATCCGCCACTGCGTGGCAGAGTGTCCCCAGTGCCCCTAATTTCAAGTGAATAGGAGCAATATACCCGAAAGCTCGCATTTATTGATTTTATAAACGGGGCCGTTATCAAAACCCTTTTCAGTCTTCCGTTATGAGAATGTGCTTATGACCCCATCAGGATTGGGTTTTTTCCTCTTCATAAGATGTAATTTTTCGCACTGCGATCTCACAAATCTTTAGATTTTTTCAGACCATCACATCCAACTGCAATGTATGATGCTTAAGCAATATCTTATATCATGTATAAACAGAAACAAATATTGAAATAATCCCTGATAATGTTATCACAATGTATATACCAATGTCTAAAAAATTGTATATCTTCGCTTTGAGATTTCCCTTTGTAGCTAGGAGCCCCTTCCCCAGAAAGTGCCCCTTTTTTGTTGGTGACCTCGCACCTCTCCCTCGCACCTCTGCCTCCAACTCTATTTTGTTAAGATACTCCCCCGGTCGCTACGCTCCCTCGCATAATTATGATACGGAATTTTATAACGCTTAACACTATTATAAATAGCTCACATTTCTAAAGGTTCGTTAAATCCTTCAGAATCATGAACCCCTTTCAATTTTTGGAATTACAAACCTTTTGAATAACAATCATTTGGAATAAAAATCCTTCAGATTGATAAACTTTTGGACTAACTGACCTTCGCAAATATTCACCTGCGGAAATTTGAATCTTTTGGGGAAAAAAGACATGTAACCGATTTTGGTGACTTCTGAGTTCGTGTGTACGTGTACTAAAGCCTCATTAAGAAGTATAGTTTGAAAAACGAGATAGATTGATTAATTCTACTTTACGGAACAAAATTGATCCGCCCGTATATATCTATTTCTTTTTCTTCGAATACAAAGTCTCTAAATTCAAAACAAAGTTATCAGTTATCAAAACATCTGGCCAACCTCATCGGTCCTATCAATCATTACACTCGAACGAGAATGATCAAAGAGGGGCAGATGAGGAAAGTGGTGAGGAATAATTCCATAAAAGGGAAGCCATAATCGGTTCGAGTCATCAATTCAGGAGCTGATCTCACCCGCAACAAGCTGCCTTCAGAACCTTCTCACCAGATTGGTAAGCATTTCGTTTTCTACTTTGCAGACTATAATTACAGAACTTTTGTTTCAAACCGATTTTTCGATAATATGTATTTTGGCCCATTTCTAAATCTTATTTTGTTCAAATAGCATATGACTCGTTTCTTTATCATTCACTAATACGATGCATATATTCTACAATCTGCCTTATAGGTTATTTACTTTTTTATTCATATCTTAGATGTTTAATCTTTACGCTTGATTTGTTATGTTTCCCATTATACATCATAATCATGACAGTATTAGTCTTTGGACTACAATCGTGTATCAGTGTATGAAGATATCAATCATGTAGAGGTGATGTGGTCCTGTGGATGAGTCAATCAAGACCGGATTACGGTTACCTAATGCATCGTTATTTAAGTTCGCACATTTTAATGTTGGACAATTCTATTGAAAGATAGTTTTTCAGTTTGATTTTACGAAGGTCTTTGCAATCGTATACACTGTTAGCATCACCCATCTATCTATCTCTTAAGTCAGCGGCGTAAGTAGGAATTTATTTTTGTATGGCACCCTGGGCAAATAATAAACTTGCGCCCTCCCCCTCCCTGTTTTAACTTATGAGCTTAGAATACTAACAAGCTTAGTTCTCATTCATATCATTCAGAAACTATATAGCAATGTAGTGAAAATGATTTTGATGTATTTAATCCGGCAATTGTTATAACCCAAAGCTTTATCAATATAGGACCTAGCTTAACTGATAATTTAGACAACAACATCGATAATGATTTTTGTAATGATGACATTTATAGTAATATTGATTTTAATCCAAGTACAGCTTTTTTTAAAATTCTATTACCCCTACAGAAATAATCACTATTGTAAGTAAATAAAAAAATAATAAAAGTTGTGGTCATGATGATGTAAGTGTTAAATTATTGAAAAAGTTGTTCATATTTTATCATGCCCTTTAAGTGCGATATTTAATATTTCTTTATCTACAAGTATAGTACCAGATCAATTAAAATTTGCAAAGGTTATTCCTGTTTTTAAGAATGGTATTAAAGAAAATGTTTTAAATTATCGACCTATATCTATACTCCCTGTTTTCTCAAAGATTTTAGAAAGAGCTGTTTATAATCGACTTTTTATGTTTTTAAATAAGTGCAATATTATCACCGAATGCCAATATGGCCTCATACTTGGGCACTCTACATCTAATGCAATTATGCATTTTATTTATAATGTTTTAAAAACTTTTGAAAATAATCATATTTTAATGGGCCTTTTTTTAGACTTAAGTAAAGCATTCGACACATTAGACCACACTATTTTATTGAAAAAATTATATTATTATGGTATTCGTGGAGTAACTTTAACATGGTTTGAAAGTTATTTAGAAAATAGAACCCAATTTGTACAAATAAAGATAAGTCTAATACCGAAAAACTAAGATGTGGAGTGCCTCAAGGATCCATCCTTGGACCTCTTTTATTTATTATTTAAGTTAATGACATGTGCAGTATTTCTGATAAATGGAAGTTTATTTTATTTGCGGATGACACAAGTGTTTTTAGGTCTCATTCTAATGTCCAGGTTTTACAAAATGTTTTTAAGCAAGACATTTTGGAACTTTCTAATTGTTTTTTATATAATAAATTGGCTTTAAATTATGATAAAACTAAGTATATGGTTTTTACAAATAAAAATATTGATTTTAACAACATTCATTAACGAGTAAATGATCATAAATTTGAACCTGTAAATAATCTGAAGTTTTTAGGTATTGTAATTTATCATAAAATGAAGTGGCATGAGAATATAAATTTGGTGTGTAATAAAATAGCAAAAAAAAAATGGTATTTTATATAAAGTTGATTTTTATCCCTTAAATATTCTGAAAATATTGTATCATACTTTAATAACACCATATTTTAATTACTGTATAGTTGCATGGGGAAATGTTAATAAAATTGATATGTTAAGGTTACTTAAGCTTCAAAAGAAAGCAATACGCATTATTACTCATTCCCAATATTATGCTCACTGTAATCCTTTATTTTGTAAACTTGGAATTTTAAATGTTACGATATGCATAATTTTTGTATTGCAGTTTTTATGTTTTCATGTTTTAATAGTAATTTGCCTACTTTTGTATCAACATGTTTTAACTTGAATTGTGATGTGCATAATTTTAATACTAGAAATGCCCTAAAGTATCACCTCCCCAAGATTAGAACGACATTTATGAAAATTTCGCTATTTTTTAAAGGACTATTAATATGGAATAGTATACCTCAGGAAATAAAAAATGCAAAACCCTCAATCTTTTTAAAATTAAATATAAACAATTTCTGTTAAATAAGTATAATAATCAGTATTGATAGCATGGCAAGTTTGACACTTTTTTGTACTCTATTTGTACATGACAATATGCTTTAGTATGTTTTTTGTTTTGTTCTGTTCTGTTGTTCATGTTTCTTTTTTTTCCTGTATGTATGTGTCTTTGGGGTAGGCTTTCATATAAGGAACCCCTCCTTTCTGCCTATCCCAATTGCTCTCTTAAATCACCATTGTTATTTGTTATCACTATCTTGTTTTTTATCATTTCATTCTGTATTTGTATGTTTTAAATGTTTTCATGAAGAGTGTTGAATAAACTTTGAATTTGAATTGATTTGAATGTATTAGTCTATGAGTTAACCAAGCGACGGAGGAAAAGCGACCATGCGGTGAAATTGATTGATTTATTGTATTTGTTGATTTTGTAGGCTTGAGTAAATTTGCATTATGGAACATACAAAATAGAAAGGAAATACTTTCATGTGATAGCACGTGAAAGCGAATTATCAGAATAACGTGTTGGGATATGAATAGAATTACAATGATTTGTTGACAACTTTCTTAAGTTTAATATTCGTGTCAATTTTTGAAAAATCTGTAGATTGGCACATATTCTGTTTTTCTGTATTTCCAATAGAGAGAGTCCTAACCGGACAGGATTTTTTTTAATTGTAAATTAAATTTGCATTTTCACCGTACAAAACGCGATTTCTTAAGCGTTTTACACTTTTGGGGGAAAAATTCCAACCGACGGTGTTTCAGAGTTTGAAAATAGAAAAATGCTATTCTATTCAATTCTTTCTATATTCTAGCAGTATAATAAGGACAAAAAATTTCAAGGAATTTAACACAGAAATACGCAACCAGAACATTGGGAATAACTCCCAATTCTCGTATCTTTTGTTCTTCTTTTTAAAAACCAAACAGAATAGCCGTTCACATATTGCCGGCTGCTTCCCAAGCTAAACTAGTCAAGATGATGATGAAACTAGCTGTTGTTCTCTGTGCTATTGTGGCAACCAGTATGGTGTGCGCCAAGGATTTTGAAGAGCAATATGCATTGAACACTTGTAAGTATATAAGTCAGCCCCCTTTCAGAAGTTTGTCAGGAAATCCCTAAGCTATTGTCAGAAAAGCTCTGAAATTAAGACATTTTGTTAACACATAATATTGTCGTACTATCCTATTTTACTCGGGGGGAGGGGGGCAGTAAGAATATAATGTGTTTTCCAGGCAAGGGTACTCTAAATGCGTTTTAGAAACTCAACAAACTTTCCTAGTTTCCCTCTCATTTTTTGCCTATTAATTTGACACCCTAAATGCGTCTTTTGCCTTAACCAACCAAAACTTGTTTTGGTCGCGCGTATGTACATCAATATATATTTGAAAGCTCCCCCCTGTGTTTTATCTTTGTTTTCATTACATCTCGTTTCTATGGCAACCAGTGCTGAATATGATGCTCTCGGAGGAGGCTGCATCTCCTGATGACGTGGTAGCCTTGCAGGGATGGAAGAACCGAGCCCTCAACGTTGGAGGTCATGTAGTTCGTAAGATAGCCGAACGCGGTTACTCGCTGGCTAGGACAAGTCGTAGAGTCCATCGTAACATTCTCAGAGTTCAGAAATTATGCAGAGGGATTGGTTACTCTCCAGAAGAAGCTCGTAAGTAGCCATAGAAATATAATAATGAAAACAAATAATGATAATAATAATGATAATAATAATGATGATGATGGTGATAATGATAATTAATACTAATATTTCGTAAATGGATAATACTATCATTATTTCATCATCATTATTATTACTAAAAATAATTCAAAAATTTGGACCAAATTTGATGATGTGTATAAATATTATAATGTAACATATCCAATAGTTTGAAGCACTGGACTCTTTGAAAAGAGATAAGACAGGAAAATTCGTTGTTAATGATACTTATTGCCAGGCACATACATAGTGTTTAATATTATGTTCTGCATGCTTTACATTGTGATTACGACAGTATTATCCCGTTCCCTGGATTCCATTGCTACTCTGCACGTGATAGTGTACATGTTCCACTCCCTTGTGAGTACATATTACAACGTATTACAAATATTCCTGACAGGCACAATTTAAAGCGCACATGTGCTAATCCAGGGGCACAGTCTTATAATGGACGCCCATATTGTGTCCCGGCGTCTGTTAGTGTTGAGCCCTGCCTAATCCAGCCAAATTAAAGATCGCATCATACCGAGAAGGCCTACCATTTTAATCCTGGGTGGGGAGAAACAATGAAAATAAAATGCCTTGCTTTAATAGGGACACATGTTGGCCCGAATTCACAAAGGAGGTTTGTCGACAAACCTAGGTTTATGTGCGTCATAATAATATGACGCGTTCCGACGCGTTTTTACAAACCAGGTTTGTTGAAAAAACGCGTCAAAATCATGACGTACATAAAACCTAGGTTTGTCGACAAACCTCCTTTGTGATTTCGGGCCAATATGTGCCATGTCGGGTATTGATCTCGCAACCTTCGCATCTCCATCGAGTGTTCTCACCAGTCCCTTCTCCTAGTTTAATCATAATTTCAAATTTTACGTTCATCTTAGGTGCTCAAATTCTGTCTGCGATCCCGGAGATGAAAGAAGAGGATATCAGCGAAGAGGATCTTAAATCGATCTGCGCTGGTGCACATGCCCTTTTTCATTAGACTCAGTACGTATTTTTGTACAAAAACATGAAACAAGAGAATTGTAGTGCAGATGTTCAACCAATGATTTTCCACTCACAGTTTACATATACAGAGCTGCTTAATAATCATCAAAATTTCAAATTAGACTCAATCAATTTTAATAAATTTTTGTTTTTAATATACGGGAGGGAGGGGTGGTGGCAAGGAGGGGGGGGGGGATCAAAACTATAAATGAAGCCGAGTAAACAATCCACCACTTATGAATCTTTTACATGTATTTTGCTTTAACAATTTAAATACCTGTCAAATCTCAAGTAAGCAATGTTTGAGAATATAATATTGTAGGCCTATACGAGATTGTGAACAAGATCAAACTTAGGTCTATGCTTCTTTCTCTGTGCCCCCTCTACCTTTCTCTCCGCTCCTTCCCTCTCCCTTTCCCGTTTTTTCTCTGTCTCCCTCTCCCTCACTCTCTCTCTCTTTCTCTCTCTCCCTCTCTCTTTCTATCTCTCTCTCTCTCTCTCTCTCCCACTTTCTCTGTCTCCCTTTCTCCCCCCTCTCCCGTCTTTCTCTGACTCCCTTTTCTCCACAATTACCTCATTATGTTTTAAACAAAATACATTGTCTTCCTTTATTTCTCACATAGGAAGGGATCGTGACACAACATCCGGGACGCTTGATGTCGATTCTTCCTTAAGACACAATAAAATAAAAGCAAGAAATTGTCAACTTCCATCGTGTATTTGCAACTTCCTTATAATTAGAATCTTCTTTATCACTCCTGTATTGTTAAAATCCTTAAACCTTGTTAATCCTCTAAAATAAAATGATGGTGAGTGGTTTTCATTATTTATACATATTTTGCCTTTACTTCCATGCATCCATTCATTATACTCCTTTCCAAGGTTTAAAACTACACCAAACTTACAATTTAGCATAATACTACATCTTTTCATCAAAAGCTTCAAATTAAAGATGTTCTCTCCGTTTTGCTCTTTTTTTTTCTCCTAAAGAAATGTACCAACAACAAGACATTGTAAGCATGGTATAAGTGGAATAACAAATAGTATTGGTAATAATGCTGATAATAAAATCACATGAACTTGCATACCATAACTAGCGTGTTTGTTTTGGATATTTTGTTATATGCTATAAAGCTAGTAGTGTATGATTGATAAAATACTGTTGGCATTTGATGAGAAAAAGTTTGAGAGGCAAAATTAAAATAAAGTGAAGGTTAAATAGAATAATGAAGAGGGAAAGAAGATAGAGGGGGAAGCACGTACAGGAGAGCAGGGAGAGGAGAGTGAAATGAAGAGAAAGTGAGAGAGAGAGAGAGAGAGAGAGAGAGAGAGGGGAAGGAAGGCAATGAAAGCGGACAAAAAGAGAAAGATGAGTGATATCAGTAGAGACAACTGAGGCAGAAAGGGAAAGAATGAAAGAGAGAGAGAGAGAGAGAGAGACGGGGTGACCAAGGTGATGCAAGAAATATGCAGTTGAGGAGCATTTGAGATGGAGAGAAGAGTGAGGAGAGCAGAGAGGTCGGGTTATCTTACTTTAAACATAAGGCTTAAGGACAGTCAGGTGCGTACGCGGGGGAAGGGGGGGGGGGTGGGTGTCGAACCCCCCTCAACTTGTTTTGTTTGTGTGTTTTGGCGGACCCCCCCCCCTCAATTTTTGTTTTTAATTTAAACAAAATTATAATACAAAAATAAAAATAAAAATCAACGGGTGACCAAAGAAAGGTGACCTTACCCCCCCCCCCCCCCCCCCCCCCCTCAACGGGACGAAATATCGATCGGAAAATTTTCAAATTTCGGGACAAGATTTTTTTATTTTAAAATGTGCCCTATATATTATGTATGTAAAGTAGATAATATGAAATCAGAAACAAAAATCAGAAATTGAATGATTTTCTCTCACGGACCACACACAAGCACTAAATATTAAAGGTTTAACACCGTACAGTGCAAAAAGTTAGTGCTTGCCTGTGGTAAATAACTATGCACTACATGTATAAACAAAACACAGTGGCACGGTCGTAAATGATTGTTCTTTAATCAATGTGCGACGTTTAAACTACCGAAGACTAGTATAGAGATGTTAAAAATATCTAAAGTGCAAGGTGTACAAATTAGTTGTCAATGACTATGGGACCTCAACATTCAACAGCAGTAGCATAGCTACCCCACATTTGACGCCTTCTGACGACGGCTTAAAAATATTGCTATTGAAAAAACTTGGTTTGGGCTACAACACTGAGAAAATGTCATTGGTTTTACAAGTTTTAGTCTCACACCCTTTAAATACTGACATGAGGAAAGTTAAACATTCTCGCAGTAATACATGCAGATCTGTATCAAAACTTAGTACCTAGCCAGCTATTCTCCACTCCTGACGACGGATAGTCAACCTGTTCGAAACGTCGAGCCACTCATCCTCTCCAAGCGCTATAGTTATCCTGAGAACTATATGCTAAGAAAGATAACAAACAGTCCCTTTCAGGACTACACTCCTCCAAGAAAGATTACCGAGTCAGAGTCCTTTTCAGGACTCCTCAAACCTCTCTCTCTCTCTCTCTCTCTCTCTCTCTCTCTCTCTCTCTCACACATGGTGCAACCGCAAACCTACTGTATAACTTTTCAGTAGCCTAGGACATATCCATTTAAAGACGTAGCCGTGCACTGGTCAACAACATATATATTGTGTAAAATATGTATCAAGCAAACCTGAGTAAATTTAAAAATCCTTTCCTCATAAGCAAGTTTTAAACTATTCTTTGGGTTTTGGTTTTCCTGCATGTTCATAGTACTGTTCCCTTGTTTAAGGGGGTGTAGGATTTCCCCTTTCCCCCCTTTTTTTAAAGAAAAAGTAGATTAATAAGATCAAATAAAGTAGCATCAAAGCAATTATAATATAAGCCCATGCTCAGTTCTTTTCTTTTTCTAAACGAGGTGTAAAAACTACGTACTGCTGCACACTTACATTTTACAAGCAGACATTTCTATACCTGGATACCTGACAATTACATGTGGGTAGGGGGGGGGGGGGGGTACTAAGCACTCATTTTTTGGGGGGCCGTCGAAAAGTTGATAAATTGATAAGATTACGATCAGATAAGCATCCAGGGGCCCGCCTACGGGCCATTGGTTGGGATCGGGGGGCAGAGCCCGGAAGCTCAGGGCTTTGGGCATTTAATTACGTTAGATGAGCACAATTATACCTCATTTGTGACACTGGCAGGTAACTAATTGCCGTAGGGTCCAGGGGGTGGAGCCCCCAGAAGCTCAGGGGTTTTATGAATATTATAACGGTCAGACAAGCATGCAGGGGCCCGTCTTAGGTCCCCTGGTGGGGTCGAGGGGTTTGAGCCCCGGAAACTTACGGGTTTAAGGCATTGAATTACGGTCAGATGAACATATTTTAATACCTTATTTGTGAAACTGGCAGGAAACTAATTGGCGTGAGGTCCAGGGGACCGAGACCCCAGAAGCTCACGGGTTTTAAGCATTAAATTACCGTCGGATTAGCATCCAGCCGTCCGCCTTAGGGCCCTAGGTGGGGTTCAGGGGCAGAGCCACCGGAAGTCAAGGGTTTTACGCATTTAATTACGGTCAGATGAGCCTATTTTGATACCTTTGATATCTTTCCCCGTTTATTTCCTTCTTTTTTTTCCTTCCTTTTTCTTCTTTTTTTGTCCCCTTTGTTTTCCCCTTCTTTTCTTTTCCTTCTTTTTTTTCCTTCTTTTTTCCCTTCTTTTTTTTTGCCAGGGGGGGGGGGGCGGCCGCCCCCCCCCTGGATGTGCCACTGCACTGTGGAGTACGGGTGGAGCCGAGTTTAAATTTAGCCTACAGACTGATCGTTGCATCGATCAGATGCCGTTAGATCGCACCGAACCTATCAGCCCAACACGTGGATACACGTCGCTGTTTTTTCGACGGCTGGATAATGAGGCTATACCTGGACGACGCTATGGTTGGTGCTGCGATTGGACAACGGGGTGATGTTTTCAAAATGGCGTCACAGCGATGTAAAGGTTGCAGCCTCAGAGGGAGCCGAGTGCACTGGGCACCACTTCGGGGAGTGATCGGACATCTTTGGTTTTCGGAAGAGTTGTCAAGAGTTAGGCGTCACTGCGGATAAATTGAACCACTTTGTTTTACCATGATTTTACGAACTACATTCACCTATTTTATTATGAATTATCATGAAACGGAAAAAATATTCACGCGAATATCAATATTCAAAATCGTGACAGTATATACATGTAAGATAATCATGGACTTTTTAAGAGTTCAACTGTAAGTGTTATCTGCAAAGTTGTGAAGACGGAGTGACACATGATACTCGACCGCTGAAGGCCGGCAAGTTGATTATTTTGAGGAAAAGTAAATGATTTTCACTCTTTACATCTTTTCAACGCCATCCTAATTTATTGGGACTAACTCTCATCACTTCTCCTCTTGATCTTGCTTTTGAGGTGTTGACCAGCAAGATGTTTTGACGTCGTCTCCACCTCCCACTTGGACTACAAGATTTTGTTCATTTTTTGTACTAAATTTCATTTTTCTTTCCTTGTGTTTTTGATTTGACATTCGATGCATCGTCAGCGGTTGGACTGGGCTTGTAAACGCCAGGGATTTATTGTTCGGCTTCGGTTTCGGTTTCAAACTTGCATCTCCATTCGTGCTGGCGCTGACCGTGATTGCCGTAGCTTTCAGTTGATTTTATTCGAGAAGTTGAGCTATTTGCGTAATATCTATGCTGTAATATCAGTTGAAAAAACATTGCTGGGCGTCGATCGTTGCTCTGCGTTAACCAGTTTTCTAAAAAAATCTGTTAGATGGCGCTATATACAAAATCTATCTAGGAGCTCTACGAAAACAGCAATCGTGAAAACTATCAAAATTTGGATTGAGTTTTCCGTACTTTGGAAGGGTAACAATTTTGATCCGTTTGATAATATGACAATACACAGTTTACAGTCATACACGGGTGGTAAAATTCATCTTGAAATAATGGTACATAATAATTTGGATATAGAGCAAAACAACGCAAACAAATACTTTGATGCAATGAGAAGATTAAATATCGTTAGAGATACTCAATGCATTAGCGTGCCTTGTTTTTTTTATGCAGGACCCCCGCCCCTCCCCACTCAATATAGAATACGCGTATGCATGTCCCCTTTTTGAAAGCACACCCCCCCCCCCCCCCCCCCACTGTCTTCGGTGTGAAAATCGATGGCGGGCCGGACTTTGTCGCGCGAAAAAAAAAGTAGCCCTTTACCGGATATTTTGGGAACAGGCATGCAGTTCCTCCAACCCCCAAAGTAAGGGGGATGGGGGGGGGGGGGGAGCGGGCTGGACCTTAAGTTCTATGAAGAAATCCGGAATTTGCGAAGTCACAGTCATCAAACACTACACCAGCAACCATCAAGTACACCCCCGGTTCCTACGCCAGTGCTGTATTGATGAAAAACTATGACAAACCATCCAAGTGTATGGATATAGTAATTGATATAAGTATAAAATAGACGGTAGCTCACGCTTCAGATTACTTTGATAAAACACAAAGATAAATGTTACAGTTTTCCAAATGTAATTCAATTCAATTCAAATGAACATTTATTTTCTTCCATTTAATTTGACAACATATTTGACATCTGTTCAAACAAAATAATTTATACGTAGGGACATGAATATAACTAAGGAAATTGTATTACAAGGAAGAAGGCGTGAAACCCGATAAGCAGAGCTTGTAATGGGTACGCCCAAATATATAATCATTTCAAGAGTTCAGCAGGAATTACGAAAACTTCTTTTCGCTATCTCTTTATTTCCTTATTTTGGCTCTCCCATTTCCCTCCATACTTTTTGTTCGGAGGGGGGGGGGGGACAGAAACATTGAGGGGGATGTTTAACCCCCAAACACCCCCCCCCCCCCCCATGCGTACGCGCATGATCACGATTGATTTGATTAGTACACATGCATATATTTATCTATTTATCTATATTTGAACTTGTTGAAATAAATTTTAAAAATAAATCTTTTCCATTTTTGCTTCTTTTATTTACCGTTATAAAGTGCTTTTTGGATTGACTGGAGCGTGAGGG